TGTACCTGGTGAGGTTCAGGCTTTTTTGAGGGATTATGGGCCCTGCCTGGGCGCTCCGCGTCCTGCTGGGCCTTGTCATTTCTCTGGCTGGCACAGCACCCAGGATTCTGCCATGGTAAGCGTGGTTGTGCCAGGCTCTGTCTCTCCCCTCCCTGAGCACAAAACACTGTGCACTTCTGGCTAGGAAAGTGTGCCAGTCCAGGAAGCACAAACCCCTGGCTCCCTCCAGGTTTGCACAGAACCTACACTCTCTTTGCTAAAACAACCAGCCCTTCTCGGCAGAGAGAGGGCCTGCCTTCCGCTTATGCAGAATGTTTGACTCACTGCTTCTGACAGGCCCCAGGCTCATCAAATTCTACTAAATGTCACTTTAGTAGAAGAAATAAATCCTTGCAATGACTTTCTCAATTATAATTAATACTTATAAGCAGTGATCCCTCATATAAAGTCCAGACTGTGTGCCAGGCACTGTGCTGGACACTTTTTTGTGAATCCCCTCATTCAATATTTGTGAAAACTCCTTGGACTTTTCATTCTCCCCATTTCACAGATGAGAAAACTGAGTTGCACCCAAGCTAAGTAACATGCCCAGTGGAAGGTGGCAGAGCCAGGTCTCAAACCAGCGTCTTCCTGACCCCATGCCTTTCCCTGTGGCTTTGTAGTTGGGGTCTGGCTCTATCTGTGTCCCCCTTCTGCCCTGGGCCCTCATCGTTCTAGGCTGAGGCCGGTGATGAGCACCAGCTTGGCTTCTTTTTTGTAAAATGCCTTTGTCTGCCATGGGCACTGGGTAGGTGGGCCAGGACACCAAGTGTGTGTGTGTGTGTCTGTGTCTGTGTGTCTGTGTGAGAGAGAGAGAGAGAGAGAGAGAATGAGAGAGCGAGCGGACTATCCACGTGAAGCAGTGCCTGGAGACTCTCTTGATGATTTTAAGTTAGAAAAGTTTCCTCAATATCTCAGGTCAGCTTCTGACTGCCGTCCCAGGCTGGGTGTGGCCCTTTCAAGCTTCATGAGGAGCTGGCTGGCTGAGTGGGCATGTATCTGAGACTCAGCTGGGCCCTATGTCATTACTGACCGGAAGCCCTGTGTTACCAGTCAGCTCGAGCTGCCATAACAAAATGTCATAGCCTGGGTGGTTTAAACAACAGACATTTATTTCTCACAGTTCTGGAGGCTGGGAAGTCTGAGATCAAGGTGCCGGCAGATTCGGTTTCTGGTGAGAACCCTCCACCTGGCTGGCAGATGGCCACCTTCTGGCTGTGTCCTCCCGTGGCAGAGAAGGGCAGGCTCTGGTGTGTCTTCCTCTCCTTTCAGGACACGAATCCCCTCCCGGGGCCCCCGCCCTCCTGGCCTCATCTGTCACCTCCCAAGGGCCCCGTCCGCTAACACCGTCACACTGGGGCGTAGGGCCTCAGCCTATGAATGTTGGGGGGGGGACACATTCCAGTCCGCAGGACCCGCTTAGACTTCTACCGTCCCCCACCTGTCCTGGTGACCTTGGGGTGGCCGCAGACTTCCCAGGGTCACCCGGGCGGCTTGGCCAGGGCCCAGGCGAGGCCGGCAGCCTGTGGAGGTATAGCTGCTCTCCCGTCTGTCCTGTGTCCTCTGTCGGCTTTAGCTGTCGTCCAGCCCCCGCCCCTCCCTCAGCTCGAAGGGCTCCGGGGGACCCAGCAGGCCTCCGGACTCCAGCCGTACGGTGTGGGTGGCAGGGGTCACCTCCTCCCGGGGGAGGCTCTGCACTTGCAGAGTCCCTGGTGACAGGGCAGACCCACCAAGCTGCAGGCTCTTCCCTTGTCAGGACGACCCTGGGGAGAAAGAAGAGGGTGACATGCTAGTTAGAAAGAGAACACACGCCAGGAAGACACTGAAGGCACCACCTGAACCAGTTCAAGTTTGAACGGGTCCACAATCCCTTGTGTGCAACTCTCATATCCAAAGGTCTCTGGACACTAGAAGTTTTTCTTCATTGACTGGGTGGCAACAAACGGCCTGAGCTGACGGGAGGCAGCACGTGACACCTGTATTTATTCCACGCGAGTCCGTGTCTGTGTGCCCTGGGCTGTGGTTTCTATGGGGCCGGCCACGGAGCTGGGCCCTGGCTGCCGACTTCCCCCGGACCCCACGGGGGGCATGCGAGCACCAGCCTGCAGTCAGGTGCGCCTGGGCATCGGGTGGGCCGCTTGAAAGGCAACATGCGATGAGCAGAAGCGGGATGCTTTAATCTCCTGGGCATCGTTTTCCAGATAAAGAACAAAAACACAGAGGTGTCAAGTCGAATGTCAAATGCCGTTCATCCCACCCCAGCTCTGGGGATTCCCAGGAGGGTGACAGTTCGGCTTCCCGGCACTTTCTGCTTTGGCCAGGGTGATGCCATCATCGCGGCCTCAGATGGGGTCAGGGGCTGAGCGTCCTTATAAAACGGGGGGACCTGGACTCCGAGGGAAGAGACACTGGGGAGGCCCAGGGCTGCCCGGGGCTCCCCGAAGCTGGAAGAAGCAGGTGGGGTCCTCCTACAGGTTTAGAGGGAGCACGGCCCTGCCGACCCCTGGATTTGGGACTTCTTTCCCACAGGCTTGGGTGATAAAGTTTGGTATTAAGCCACCCATTTTGTTACAACAGCCACAGGAAAGTCATGCAAGGGAGCTCCCCAAAGCCGCCCCCCCGGGACCCCGGCAGCCGCTGGGAGACCCATGGGATGTCCAGGGACTTGCTTCCTCTCTCCTCTCCTCTCAACTGGCTTGGCGTGAGGTGGGTGGCAAGAAAAAGCTGAGGTAGGGAAAAAGCAAAAAGAGGGGGCCCCCGCTGCGGCCTGCTTTGGTCTGGGCTTCCATGTGCCAATCCAGAAGCGGAACCGCATTGCTCTGCGAAGGGGAGTCTCTGACCGGTCACGACCGAGCCGGCTGGGTGCTGAGCCCGCCTGGGCCTGCCTGGCTCAGGGTGGATGTCCCCATCCCTTGGGCATCGTGTCTTTGCAGGCTTAGTGATAATTACTCGACATTTCCACTGATGACTGGGCTACAGCCGCTTCTCGGAGGTGGGGAGGGGCGGTTAGCTCTGAAAGCAGATTCCCAGACAACTCCATTTGGTTCTGGGGCTCCTCTGTAGGCTTTGCTCAGAGCCAGACCCCGTGAGAACCCCACCAAGTAGAAGAAGAAACTAGCGCTTTGCAGATGACTGGGTTCTGAGAAGCAGCCTGGAGCCAAGCCACAGCCCCCTCACCCGCATGACAAAGGCAAAGGTGGCCTCCGGGTGATGCCTGCCTGCTCTGGGAGCCTCCGAGGGCCGGCCAGGCCCTGTGCAGCCTCCCTGCTCCCGTCTCACTCATTCCCCACAGGACAGGGCTCAAGGGGGGGGGGGGGACACAGGAGTTGGAACCCCCTTGGTCTGTCTGGCCCTTGGAATGTCCACCTGGAAGCTCTGCCTCCAGGCCCCCGCCCCACGTAACCTGGCCCTCCTTCCCGCCTCCCACCCCCAGAGTCAGGCAAATGAATTCTCCCCTTCAGGCCCCAAATGCGGATGTGATGTTGGCACTTTCTTTTGGAAGACGACAAAGCTTGAGCCGGGCAGGGGAACTGGGCTTCTGGGCGGGTGTCCGGTGGGCAGAGCCGAGCACCTCAGGATGGCCGAGCTGGTTGAGGACAGACCTGAGACACCAAAAGTCGGCCAGGAGTGCCATCCTCCATCAGAGCAGTGGACACTGACCTGCATGGGGGCCCATCATCCCTGCCTGTCTCCTCTGAAGCCCAGGGCAGGGCCTTGGGTTGTCCCCTCTATGACTTTTGGGCAGGTCTGACAAGCCCGACTGCAACCTCTGTCCCAGGATGCATGCTCCTGGAGGTCCTAAATTGCCAGTGAAGGGAGGCAGGAAAAAGAGAGGTGCTAATCCCAAACCATCCTGGTGACCAGCACAGCTCCCGGAGCAGGAGAAGGACTTGGCCTCTAGGTTCCCGACTTAACGTTTCCCAACCGCAAATAGCACAGGCCTAAGATCTCACTCCCTAGCTTTCTTCCTTCCAAACTCCCACCTGTGAAGGAGGGTGCTCCCTGACCTTGGGTTTTCTCCACAGCCCTTCTTTCCTCTCTCCGCCTACCCCCTCCTCCACCACTCTGTCTGGATCTCACCGAAACCCATGTTTTTCAGCCCTGACGTGCCACTGTCTTCCCAGAATCCTCTCTGTGAGCTCCAGACACACAGAGCCAAGGAACCGGGTCCCTCCCCTTCATACTCAGCATGTCCAAAGTCAACCTCATGATAGCCCCCAGCCCACTTCTACCTCCATCCTCTCAGGAGGCAGCTCTGACCCATTAGCTCCTCGCGCACAATCCTTTGATGGCTCCCTTTTGCTTTAACTAAAGTCCAACCTCTAGCTGAGCGCTCAGTCGGGCTTCCACAGACTTTTCTAGCTTCTGTTCCCACCCTTACCCACGCGCAGTGCCCCCTGCTACACCATTGGTGGTGGTGGGTTACTTGTTAAAATGCCTGGGGGTGCTACAGGCAGTTAATGCTCAGCTCAGAGTCCAGGGGTGCTAAACATTCTGTCCTTGGAGGTGCAGGACACCCGGAAGAAGGCCTCCCCCGGCCCACACCCACTGCCCAGCGCCAAGTCACACCACGTTTCCCAAAGGCTCAGGCGCTCACGCTCCCCCAGGCCTCTGAAGCCCCTCTGCCTGGCACGCCCTTCCCCAGCTTCTTCATCTGGCTCACTCCCATCTGTTCTCTACATCTGCCCTGCATCCCTTTTGGGGACTATGTTCTGATCAGCAGGCTGGGTCAGATATGCCACCGGGGTACCCATATCCCAGTGGGAGAGGCTTTCGGGGCCTTGAGGGGCAGGAACCGTGACCCTCCTGCTGGCCCCTCACCATCATGTGAGCTCCTTGAGGGCAGGGTCCAGGCCCACAGAAGGGCCCTGGGAAAAGAGTGAGTGACCCAAGTGTTAGCTTTTCAGGGACTCCCCCACTCCTCCATCAAGAAAGGTGAGTCTACCTGCTTCTTTCTGCAGGAGCTGTCCAAGCTGGGCCTGAACAGTGACATGGAGGTGGAGCTGCGGATTCTCCAGCTACCTGTAGATTACAGGGAGGTGAAGCAGAGGGTCACCAGAATCTGGGAAGACCTTCAACCGCAAGTAAATGAAGGCTGAGGAGGCAGTGAAGCTGGGGGGTGGGGTGGGGGGGGAGATGACGAGGTGGAGCCCCAGAGCCTGTGGACCCCCGGACCCTGGTTCTAGGGTTGATGGCTGAGGGGTGCACCCCGCCCCCGTGTCCCACCAGTAAGGTCCCAGCCAATTTTCTAAGGTTCTGGGTCTGTTTGTAAAAGTTTAAGCTGAAACACAGAGTGGATCTTGGAAGAAGATTCTGGAGAGAGAGAAGGAGGACAATAAATGGAATCTTTATTCCTCGCCAGGACTCAGAGATAGTTTCCACCCAACCGATAGGCCCCTGGGTTAGGTCCCAGCCATGGCCATGCAGGGCAGGCTGCCTGTGAGGTGAAGCGAGAGACAAGGACCTTTTGGGCCTGGCAGGGCGGTTGGCGGGCAGCCCGTCTGGAGAGGTCCCATCTTCATCACACCCAGCCTTTTTTATCTGAACAGAGTCATTATATAAAAAACTGGTACAAATGTCCAAAAACTAGGAAGACCGGACGATGAGATTAACACAACACACACCACCATGCCGTTGAGACAACTGTCCCAGGTGTTTTGATAATATGCTCCACAGCTGTTTTTTCAAAGAGGAAAAATAATCAGCTCAAAAAATCCTAACAATATTTTATCACGTGGTTACTAACTTCCTTTATTAGAGTTTCATACAAGAGAGGGAAGATTCCCCAGAAATGCTAAGCTGCTCCCGTGCTAGTCTTAGCTACCAGGGGAGCCCGCCCCCCGGGGGAAAGAAGGGGAATACATTACCCTGCAAGAATATTTGCCCCTATAAAACTAGTTAAATTAAATGCCACATGGGTTTCTATCCAGTTGTTTTTCATTCCCGCACATCCATTAGGGGCGGTCAGCGGGGAAGCCCGGAGGTTGTGTGCCAGATCTGGGTTTTGCGATGCTTTGCACCCCTGCGCTCGCTCTGGGCTTGGCCCTTCAGCCACATCCGGGGAGCAGAGCAGGCCTCAGTTTCCCTAATCTCTCGTCCGCCGCGTGTGCAGACGCAGTTCGCTGTGCACATCGGCCTGGACGCCTCCGCCAAGGCAATCGTTCTGGAGCAGTGCGCCAAGAACCGGGGCTACCGGGACGCGGACATCCGGGGCTTCCGGCCGGCGCGCGGCGAGTGCCTTCCGGATGGCCCGGAAGTGATCGCGTCGGAGGTCAGCATGAAGGCGGTGAGCAAGCGCGTAGAGGGCCACGTGGAGGGCGTGGAGGTGACCTCTTCTCGAGATGCGGGCAGGTACGTCCCGCGGGTGTGGGGGGTAGAGGAGGGGGAACGACTGCAGTGCCTCCTCTGACCAGGGTCTCTCCCCAGATGTCCCCCTTCCGCACCGGGAGGCCATCCTCTGCGGTCCGGCTGGGCACTTGCTCACGCCGTGGCACCCCAGGGCGGCTCCTGCAGACCACCAAGATGTCGTCCCCACCCCCCCGACCCCACCCGGCCCTTGGTGCGTGGATAGAGAAGAGATGGGAAGGCATGTTTTGAGAGCCACTAATGTTTTGCGGATGCTTTGTTTTTCTTTATTGCGTCCCAAGTTGTGAGTTAACTATTCCGATTTAGCCCCACATAGAGATGAATTTGCTTTGGTTCCTCCAAATTCTGACCGCCAGGTAGTTTCTCCCCACCCCCGCCCCAAGAATGAATGAACAAGTGACTCAGTAGACACGAATGAGAGGGGTTTGGGGTGTAAAGGTGTTCTGGACTAGTTGCTTGAAAATCTGGTCCCTTTCCAGGCTCTGCTGCTTGCTGATTGTGGGACCGTGAGACCAAAAAGCAGTCCCTCCCCGGTTCATTCCCAGCGACTCTTCTTTCTGAGGCAGAAGAACAAAACCTAAATCTCCCTGGGTGGCAGTCCAACTTCCTCATGTTTTGGGGGTGCTGCATTATCCCTTATGCTTACATTTCCCTGGGGTTAGAGGCTTTTCCGGGGAGTAGTAACACGGCATTTCATGTGGTTGCAGATATGTCTGCGATTACACCTACTACCTGTCTTTGCATCATGGAAATGGGTATGCGGCACTCATCCACGTGCCTCCGTTATCCCGTTGGCTCCCAGCCAGGCTGCTGGGAAAAGCCCTGCAAGTCATCATCCAGGACATGCTGGAGGAGCTGAGAAAGCCTGAGCTCAAAGCCTGGTTTGCAGAAAACTCAACAGCCGTGATTCCAGCCCGGGGGAACCAATTGGGGGACTGCTCCTTTGGAGAAAATTAAATGTTTCAATCCTGTGTGCAGAGTTCAAGTGTGCTTTGAGAGACTTTTAAAAAATGGCTTGTAAAACAGTTTACACAGAGGGAAAAAAGCTCTGAATTAGCCCAACGAAATCACAAAGGGTTATTTTATTGTCAGAAGAAAGAACACTCTGAAAGGCAGACATTTCACAAGGGATTAACTAGCTTCAGTTATGGTTTTCATGACAATAAAATGAAATCCTAGTAATTTTTTTTTTCTCTTAAAAAGACCGTGCAGGGGCCTGTGGGATCCTGCCCAGACTGCTAAGACTGCAGACCTGTTGGGCAGAGCTGCCTGTGATGGGTTGATCTATGACCAGGGGAAAACATGCAGAGCGGCCGCTCGGTACCCCCTCCCTGGCCTCCACCCTCACGCATCCAGGTGCTGCGTGCAGCTTTTGACCCCTGAGTCTCTAGTGTTTGGTTTTTATTTTTCTACTCTTTTTTAAAAGTTGTGTGTAATACATAACATAAAATTTACCCTTTTAACCATTTTTCAGTGTTTATGGGCATTCACTTGTGCAGTCATCACCACCATCTATCTCTAGAAATTTCTCAACATCCCAAACTGAAACTCTGTCCCCACTAAACAACACGCCCCCTCCTTCCCCTAGCCCTTGGCAACCATTATTCCACCCTCCATCTCTGAACTTGACTACTCTGAGGACCTCGTATAAATGAATCACACTATTTGTCCTTTTGTGACTGGCTTATTAGTTCACGGAACATAATGTCTTCGAGGTTCATCCATGTTGTAGCATGTGTCAGAATTTCGTTTTTTTAGACGGAGGAATATTTCATTGTATGTGTAGACCACATTTAGTTTATCCAGTCATCCTTTGGTGGACACTGGGTTGCTTCCACCTTTTGGTTATTATGAGTACTACTATTGTGTACACTGGTGTGCAAAAAAAAAAAAAAATAGGTCAGAGTGCCCAGTTGCGGTTGTTTTGTTTCTATACCTAAAAGGGGAATTGCTGGATCATAAGGTGTTCCTACGTTCAAGGTTCTGAGGGTCCGCCGTACTGTTTTCCATGGCAGCTTCCCTATTTTATATTCCTAGCAGTAGTGTTTGGTCTTCAAGCAAGGGATCATAGCTGGGTTTGGCTTCTCTGCCATATTGGGTGTTATCCCTACTTTTTGGAAACAGAATCGCCCCTTTTCAGCTATCATGTTGCCTTTGGGCAAACACTGCCCTGGCTCTTGTGCCAAGCTGCTCAAAGCCAGGTTTTGCTTGTCTCGTGTTTTCTGGGGCAAATATGCATTGAGATGCATTGGTTTTTGGAGGAAGGGGTGGAAGGTGCCAGTGGCTAAGCTCTGGGAAATTTGTTACGGTGTTGTGCTCACAGCTATCACTTTCACTTAATTACATGAAAAAAAAGGTATTGTTTACTTAGTGTCCAGATTCTTACACTAGAAGGAAAAGCATTTGCAACTTAATAACAAAGGAACCAGGCAGGCCTTGCTTGGTTTATCGATAGCTCTCCAGCATACTTGAGCCTTTGGTACAGGCTCTACAGGACCCCTTTTGCAAATGAAACTGGCTTATTTGACGTAGGACAGATCAGAGTCACATTGGAGCTGATCAGAGCCAGCCAGGTGGGGTGGGGTGGTATGGCCCGCATGTGTAGGTCCGGCTGCAGGGTTGTTAGCATAGAGATCCTTCTGTGTTTGTAGGCAAACACCTGCCGCCCGGAGCCCTGTCCCCCTCCCCCATTGTAGCTTCTGTCGCAGGCCAGGGGCAAGCAGGGGGCCTCAGGGTTATTTCAAGCCATACACATTTTACAAACTTTCAGATGTCATCCCGTGAGGAGGCCCGAGCTCCCTCTTGATGAACTGATGAACGTCTCCATCATCTCTCCCTGTGCGACCTCCGGTGTTCTTGAGGAGGACTCCCCAGAGGGCCCGTGCGCCTCCCGGTCTAGGCGGCCTGCCGTCCCCCGTGCATATGCACTGGGGCCTGTTTACCTGTGGCTGGCCGGCGGGGGGTCGGGGTCCGTTTGAAAGCTGACCCAGCGTCAACAGGTTGAACTCTGGGTTGGTCGCTTAATAGTTGGGGGGTCTTGGGCATGTCTGTGTGTTTGCTCATCTCTAACAAATAAAAACCCTTCCCGTGCAGAGCTGTGAACACCTGCTGAGAGAATGGATGTGCGAGTCGGTCAGCGATGAGCGCGTACGGGGCAAACACACCCCTTCCTGAGTCTGGGCTGCTAGCTGGACCTGTGAGGAGGGCGGAGGCGGAGATAGCCCGGCTGGCTCTGTGGTCTCAGAGTGGCACGGTGGGGGGAGGCACTGGCCTCTGTGACCACCCAGCACCTCCATCCTGAGAAGAAAGTGCTGTAGCTTCCGGCGGAGGACAGGTGCCCAGTGCGGCGCGGCTGGCTGGAAGCCACTCGGCCGCCCGCCTCACCGGCAGCCCGCCCGCCCGTCCGAGCCTAGGGAATGAGCCTTGAGCCTGCCCGGAGTCGTCAGTCATCCAGTGACGGTTGAGGTCGAGCGCCAGCCACCGCGTGACAACGGTGAGCACAAACCCCGGGGCAACACCAAGAGCTTGTGAGAGCCCTCTCCCTTAGAAAGGCCTTTTGTTTTTAGGTCCAAATATTTGTGAGACTCACCAGATCTTAAATAACCGTGGCCTTTGATTTACTTCCACCGCCCACACCTTGCTATTCAGCCCTTTATACGGTGGCCTGACTTTGTTGCAGGAGTAGAGTTTCCTGTGATCCAAGTCCAGTGAAATGGTCAGCTTGCCTTCCCGATGTGTCTGTGCATCTCTGGTCTGATTCCAGAACACTTAACAACTTGCTTCCTTTGAACATATATTCACATTTCTCATTTCTTACTATGGCCACTTCCCCGGGCAATAAAACGATGGCTGGATTGTAGAGGCCCCGGGACAGGCCAAGATCATCAGCTAGAAAGTAACATTCTGAACACCTCCAGGGAGCCACATCCTGTGTGTGTGCTCGCTTGGTTCTGCCCCGCATCCCGGGTAGGTATGCTGGCTGCGAGGTGCCAACAAGGACAGGGAAATGTGAAGTGTGAGTCCTTTGCCCCAGATTCACCTATAGCAAACCTGCCCCGGCCTGACTTTTGTCAGTGGAGGATACAGGAAAAGTCTACAGATCAGTCAAAAATGAAGTCCAGATTTCTATATCTTATGTATTCAAATTTTCGAGCTGATTTAGAGGAGTGAGAAACAGAATAGCTTCCCTGTCTTCACCAGCAGTTTGCATGCTGGAAGGTTCAGCTGTCAGAAAGCAAAGCAAAGCCTTTCCACAGAACAGCGCCGAGCGACATGTGTGGGCACACACGCCACACGCGGCTCGGCTTCCCTGCCTCAGAAGCATGGTGATTCTTCCAGAAAGGGAGGGGACCAAATCAGAGACCAAAAATGCATACAGAATTCTTTTATTTAACTTAAACCATGTAGTACTTTACCTACTAGAAAAAAGCAGAGTAAGAGAAACTAAAGTTGCCTTAGCTTCAGCCATTCAAAATAGACAAAGTTTCTTTTTTTTTCTCATAATGTAAAGAATCCAGAGTATATCGCAGTAACAGGAATAAATTCTTACAACAGAATATACAAAAACATTTTGAAATTTTTTTCATCTACTGATTTTTTTATATAAACAGAGGAATTTATTTTTAGGAATAATTTATACACAGAAAGTCATTTTATGTAACAAATTGGCCATGTTATTACCTTTTTTTTTTTACTTTTTTAAAAAACTTTTTTTTTTTAAAAAAAAAAACTTAAAAAATCAGTATTTTTGAAATGCATCCATTGAATTGTGCCTTCTTGTTTAGTTTTTTTTTTTTTTTTTTTGTCCCAGAGGTAGACATACTCTGGCAAACCTCTCCCCTCAGCCTCGCTGGCTTAGAAAGCAGACAGGTGTTTTTGCCAAGCAACTATTCCACCTGTGGCTGTGTCTACGCAACGCCAAACACCTGAATGAACAGTTGAACGCAAAAAAAAAAAAAAAAAAAAACCTAATTGTTTCTGGACCTTTCTCCCATGTAGTGCAAAACATCCAGATGTTTCTACCGATGGAGATTCTGTGGAGAAGTAGAGACATGGCCAGTAATCCATTGGGAGCTAGAGGAAATAGAGTCCAACTGAAACACATTTGTGTGTGTGTGTCGTTTTTACTTAAAAGGACTTGTTTTGGACTAGAAAAATGTGTCTTCGGTGTTCTGCCTTAAATAAAATAAATAGGGTCTCTTCCTTGTTAGAACAAAGCGCAAATCACGACCTGAGGCATGTAAGCGAACGGCCCGTGTGCGCCAGAATCGTCATCGTTCGTGTGACAAGGCTGTGTGCTGCGCTCACTGTGAAGCCATCAGCTGTGCCCTCAAGGCCTTCCCTGTCCAGGCAGCGCACCACAGCGGCGACAAGCAGCCCAACCCGCCGGAGGCTCCGCAGCACCACGGGCACCGCTGGGCTGCCACGCTGCGGCTGTGTCCTTGGCCAGTGAGGTTCCTTCAGTCTGTTAGAGTAGCTACACTCCCAAGGGAAATGGCCAGTCAAAGATGAGCCCCTTCCCAACCAGAGGGTTCTGGAAGACCAAGACACTGAAGATACAGAACTACTTCTTAAATCATCTTTCCTTTGTTATAAACTAGGGCACAAAGCATTGGGGGGAAAAGAGGGTGAACCACGGCCTGGGTCAGGGAAAAATCCTTTTTTTTTTCTTCTTTTTTCTTTCTTTTTTTTTTTTTTTGGCATATTGTAAAGCTCGCTAGGAAACAGGTGTCCTAAAAAAATGGATCACAAACACACATTTGCACACACAGAGAAAAAAAGTGTCTTTAAATTATTTTCGGCAATTATAAACTACAAACATTTTATAAAATTATTCTATGTTCTTACAAAAATGCAATGAAACATTTAATTAGTTCTTGTAAACCAGATCTTCGTCAACTGACTACCCGTAATCTACTGGACTTAAGAGCCCTATTGAAAACGCTAATGAGTGACTAATTAGAACAATGTTTACCAGAAAGATGTGGACACACACAAACGTGGACATACAGATGAGTGATCATTATGTTCTTGCATAAACAAAATAAAACAAAACCCTAAAGTCATGCCCCAGAACTGACAACTGACGGGTGCGGTGCAGTTCGCGGTCTTGACCGATTTCACTGAACTCTGTGACAACAGTGTCCAAAGGAGGATGTTCGGTTTCTTGGTCAAAACCAAATGCCCACGGATGACTGTTGAGCCTTGATGTGGTCTGATACCTTCAGAAACCATCAGGTTCAAAACATGGCCCACACTTCTTCCCAGCCCCGTTCCCCTTCTGCTTGCCAGTCTTTGCTTGGCCTCACGTCATGACCCGGTTACAGTGGTTTCCTACTGTCTCATCATCCCACCGTCAAGGAGTGTCCAGTCTGCTTTTTCTCTAAGTGATCAACGAGTCAGCTAAGCTGGAGGCCTGAAATGAAACCCTCTGGCCTGTCCAAGGTCTGTATCTTCAGCATCTCTGGCAACAGAGGTTCAGTCTAGACAACATCCTCTCTTGAAATTCTCATTTGTACCACCGACTAGTCAGAGGGGAGTAAGAAAGGTTGACTTTCATCACTGGTGCTTACAGGGTGGATCTGGTCCGTATCTCCCAATGCTGCTTAGCCCAGGAAATAAAAAAAAAACAGCCGACAAACACAAAAGTAACAGTAACAAAAGAACAAACCCCAAACCTTACATGTATTAGTGGGACTGCTGGAATGGGCCAAGGCATACTGTGGAGCATTACTGCCAACTGGAGGGTGCCTGTGTTTTGGAAAGGAGTTGCCGTTGACATCGGCCACCATAGGGGGACCCAGCAGTGACAGCTGCGGACCTTGGACCGAGCATCCTAACCTCCTCACCGATCTGAGCTCGTGTGACCTTGCCACGACAGCAGCCTGCATCACGCACAGCCTCCTGCCTGTGGAGGTGAGCTGCTGAGAGAGAGGCTTTGGTGGAACAAACTGGCCTACAGTGTGGCATCGTACTTGGCTCGTCAATCTGTTATCCCAACCAAAGCACGTCACCTCCTGCCAAGCATTTTGCCGTCGGGTGGTTCCACAATAAGCACTTTTTTTCTATTTTACCAAGCCACGTTTCCTCCCATCAAAATGTCCCAGGTCCTAAGCAACAGGCTGGAAGGAGAGGCCAGTGTTGGCCACGAACATGGTCTTCTATCTTCCATGGAGGAAGCTCATTCCAATTGTGTGTCAAATGTCGTGACATCCCATAAAGGAGAGCTGGGGTGGTCTGGGGCTCACACAGCTGAAGTTCGACAGTGTCTCCAGAATACACCAGCTCCTGCTGCCTCAGGGAAGGGCTGTGTGTGCTAATGTTTTAATGCGCACATCAATTCGATGATGTGCCTCAGTGGTTCACGTCACTTCAAGCAGTGTGAGCTGCTATCAGAAGGAGGTTGCATGGAAAATGCCACAACTCAGCTTGATTAGATTACTTGGAGCATACAAGAGAGAAAAAATCAAGAAGAGGTGGGAAAATCAGCACAAAATTAGGCTAGAACTGTGGATAGATGATGCCTTAGGATAGTCAAGGTGGGTGGTTTGGTCCAGTAAAATGACTGCACCATCACACAAGCAAAATTTTCTTTTATTTAAGTGTTTCTGAAGCATTTGTTATGGGCACTACACTATTAGTGTTTTCTTTCTACCTAAAGAAAATCCACCTACATAAAACAAAAACAAAGGGACACCAACAACTCGGGACAGTTTAAACAAAACCCTTATAACCAGCTGAATGATCTGTAGAAATCCAGTTGCGGAAACCGGTAGGTATGTGCAAAAGAGGAGCGGCCACTATTCCAAGGGGTCACCTACAGTGTGGAAGAAGAAAACCCTGATCCAACAGTATTTCTCAGTGACCTTAAGATGCCAGGGGCCTTGGGAAAAGAGGGTAGTGTTCTCGCAGGAGGAAGCGCGCTCCTGAGCTTAACCGTGGTGCTGGAACGGAAAGGAGCCATCCCCACTTCGGGCAGACCCCCAGCACCTTTCCCGGATGGGGTCACCAGGGCCTGGGGGAGCAGCTGCTGGAGTCGGGCTATGCGCCCTCCACCCCTGTGAGCAGTGGGAGGGCGGGATGGGGGTGCGGCCCTGGCGGGAGACACACCACCCCGGAAGGAGGCTGGGCACCCTCCACCAGCCCTTTCCAGCCCGAAGGTTTGGTCTCTGTTTTCCCCTGGGGGAGGAGGAGATGAGGGTGAAGTTGAGGAACAGTCCGGGGGGGGGGGGGGGGCAGACACTTGTCTCCTCTGTACAACCTGAATGGGCCTGCAGGTCAGGAACCTCTGCATTCCCCCGCAGGCCTGGCAGACCGAGCCCTCAAAAGCACTGATGTGGCTGCACCACTGAACTTGACCCAGTGCAGCGACGGCTCGATCCCACCTCGGGCAGGCCTGGCCCACGGCGGCCAGAGCAGCGGCTCACATCCAAACATCGCACCTTTCCAAGTGGGACTCTAACCCAGAGACTGACGGGGGAGGGGGGGACCCCCCCTCCCGGGGTCCTTCCTGTCCTCCCAGCCTAGGAAACGAGTGCTCTTCCAATGACAGAGTCTGTCTGTCCTTCAAGCTGCACGGAGTCCCTTTCAAAGCCAGCCAGCCCCGGGGGCAGCCGAGCGGCCTCCCCGCTGCGTGCCTCTGCTCGCCTCCCAGCAGAGTGCGGGCGCCCCGGGCCGGGAGGAAGGAAATCCTAACACCTCACAACCTCTTAGGAAACCAAGTCAGGAGAAGAACGAAAGCAACACAAAACGAGACATCTCAGAAAAAGGCAAGCTGTCTGACGTGAGTGGAGAGGGGGTATTAGTGTTGCTTCGACCCCGGACACAGCCTGGGCTCTCCCTGCCTCGCCTGGTGCACGTGGCCTGCGGCGTAGATGAGGTTACCAGTAGCAACGGCACGCTGTCAGGCGCTGAGAAATGTGAGATGTACCCTTGTGTACATATACACATATAAAAAATAAGAGTGAGGTAGATAAATGTTTGAAAACCAAAACCAAAACAAACCAACAAAAGCAAAAAAAACCCAAAACTGTCCTGTCTTACACACACACATACACACACACACACAACCCTTTTCTCAGTATTTAAATTCATAATGGGGCTTCTCTACAGTGATTGAAACTGGTATCACAAAATAAATTAAAAGAAAACTCCTACATATAATACCTTCTTAATTTTTTTCTTTTTTCTCATTTTTTTTTTTTAAGGGAAAAAACTATGGGACAGAGGCTTGAGAAAGTCGTAGGGCTGAAGCTACTGACAAGCAGAAAAGCACTGCGCACTGGCTTTCTCGCCTTTAATCTCCAGTCACAACTAGCAATCGTCATATTTGAGCTTTGTTCTTACTCATAATTCAAACATTTCCATCCCAGAAGCAACTCGTGTGCTGTCATCACTCTGGTGAGAAGTGCTAAGAACTAAACAAAACAAGACCCCCGGGCCCCGAGGACTTGGATTCCTGGCCAAGGAAAAGCGAGCCAGCGCCAGGGCTCTGGTCCCCGGGGAGTGAACACAGGGCTCCCCGGCCACCGCAGCAGTGCTCGCCCCGACCAGGGCCCTCAGGCCGGCAGACCTGGGCGGGGGGGGGCTTGCTGCCGCCCCGAGGAGGCTGCCCCTGCGGCCCCCTCCCCGCCAGCACCAGGAGGTGCCTGGGGATTTTCAGGTTCTTAAAGACAGGTAGGTTGGTCTGGAGGGTGGTGGTGGGAGCCACAGAGGGGTCCGCTGGAGCCCGCTCTGCTGCACCCTGGGACTCAGCAGCTGTTTCTCATGGGATGGAAGGATTAAATATCCATTAAAAAAAATAGTAATCCAAATGCCTAGTTTCTGCAGTTAAAACTGCTGTTGTACCCAAGAATTAAAAAAATAGATATATGTGTGTCACAACCAAAAGGTGAGGGAAAGAGAAGGTGAGACTTTCCAACGAGGGTGACTATACACACGGAACAAGGATGTGCGAAATATTTAACCTTTTTTTTCTGACCTGAGTTTGTATCATGTCTTGCACTGTACCAGACTCCAGCGCTGTGTGAGAGCAGGCTGAGGAGTGGGGTGCCGGCATGCCAGGGCCTGCCCCCCTGGGGGTGCCCACCTGCTGCCCTCACCAGCCTCGTGCCCACAGAGCCTCCGGGTTAGAACGTAACTAACGGGCAGGGGGAGTGGGGAAGGGAGGGTGTATTTATAAAAAGGCATCAAACAGTTCATGGCAAATTATGTTATAGAAGTATCGGTTGCTGGGAAGAGAGGAAGAAAGTCACGCACGCTAGTACAAAGCATAAGAAGTTTCTTGGAGTGAGCAGAAAGGGAAGAAGGGTAGACCTGAAGGTTTTCATAGATTAAATCCACAAAGATAAAGGACAAAAAAAATAGCAGCTTTTTTTTTTCTGTACAGACGTATAGGTGAATATCTGAACCGTAAAAAAGTTATAAAAGTGACATTAAAGACGATGTGTATGCAAACGTTTCATGGTCTAACATAGAACTGTAAGACCCATGAAGAAGTCCTAGTAACAGAGAAAATGCCAACAAAGCTTGAATCCATTTACTGCTTTTCTCCTTACTGTTGTGGTGGTGTTTGAATTTCTTTCCTTGCAAACCTGCATAAACAGTTGGGCTGAGTCCCTGGAAACCCCTTCCCATCTGTGTCCTGGGGGGCCGGGAGCAGGGCATGGGGGGGAAGTGGGGGAACAGGAGACTGGCACATGGACGACCTTTCCTCAAAGCCTGTCTGCCGGGCTCTCGACAGGGCCTGTTTTCTCCAGAATTCCTGGGGGCTAGCAGGTGGGGCTGGGGAAGAGGGGATTCAGCCTCTCCCAGTCTCCACTGAGAGAAAAATCCCATTCTGTCCACTTCCCCCAAATAATAACCTACTCAAAAGCAACTAGACCTGTGTGAACGTAAGGCTGGAAAAGAACACCAGGGGCGATCAGATGGAGTGCATCCTCAGCGTGGCTCTTAAATGGCGGGACTAGATACCATGCTCGCCCCATGCCTCTGGAAACAAGGAAAAAAGTGTCGGGATCGGGAGGGAGGAAGTTGAGGGTTTTGGCAGAATTTGGCAGCATTAAAATGGTAACAACCTTGAATGAGTGATGGCCCTTTTACAATTTCGTATGTCCCTAAAAAGGTGAAAGATAGTTTAAAAAAATTCCGTCTCAACGTGGTTTTTGTTGTTGTTGTTTTTATAAAGACCTACGGTGACAGGCAGGTGTTTATGGGGGCAATGTGGGGCCACAGGGAGGGCCAGCCAGTTCCTCACTCTGATCAAAAGGGCGTCCCAGCTGGGCTTGGGCAAAGGTTTTTCCCTTAGGAAGCAGAAAGAAAGAGAAAGGTGGGAGAGAAGAGGGAGGGAGGGAGACAGGTCTGAGAGGAGTGACGGGGAAAGCGTAAGGAGACTCGATTCTCCAGTGCTCTGTTGCTATTAAGTGTTGTCATTAAGGTTCTTAAAGGCCCGTGTCAGTTAAGGGTTTGGGTAGGGAAATAAAAAGCTGCTTGCATATTGGAAAAAGGAACACCCCAAATGTGTTTACTGCAGACAAGCTGTCTTCCATGGGCAGCACTGGCAGGCCTGAAGATCCACTGAGGTACAGGAGGCTGTGGATAGATTGTTCGGACTCTCCCCCTCCCCCCGGCCCCCCCCCCCCCCCCCCCCCCCCCCCCCGCCGCCCAGCGTGCACACACATTACTGTCTGCACGGGAATCGGGAGCCAAGGATCAGCAGGTCGAAGACTGGGGCAGGGGCAAGGCCCTCTCGTTCTTGCGTCCCCCGTTCATGTGCGCGTAAGGCTGTCTCTCGTCGAAGCTGGCTCGGAGAACCAGCACGCCAGGGCCCGGGCCGTTCTCGGCCTTGTGTCCTGAGTGTCTGTCGGGCAGTGGCAGGGAGGACGAGGAGGCGGAGGGGTCCAGGGGGACGCTCTCCATGTTCTCGGGCTCCAGGTCCAGCTCCTCGGGCTCGGGCGGCTTGTTCTCCTCGCTGTAGTAGAAGGACACCTCCCGGAAGCCGGGCTCCATCTCGTCCTTGATGCTGCTGATGATCTCCAGGAAGGAAGGCCTCATCTTGGGGTTGTACTGCCAGCACATGCGCATCAGTTCAAACCTGAGGTAAAGACAGACAGGAGATGCGCCCCGCCGCCAATGGTGGCCGTGGCCGTGGCCGTGGCCGCGCAGCGTCCCGGGCCACTTGCTGTGGTCTCCCCATGACACGTGGGCACGGGAGCGCTGCAGGCGGCACTGCCCCCTGAGACTCGGTCTTTCTCTCTCGGGGGCCCGAGGGGCCCTCAGCTTCTCCCGTCTCACGTCCCACCATGGCTTTCGCTTTACCCAGGGCCCAGGACCCTCCGGGGGACTAGACCTAAGTGCTCCTCTCCCGGGGAGGACAACTCCAGGTTCACACAACCGTCTGTCGTCATAGGTATTATGGTGACAATGCTAAGGTATAAAAACGGGTGCTTGGGTGGCACCATCGGCGGGGCATCCGACTCTCAGCTTCAGCTCAGGCCGTGATCTCAGGGTCGTGGGATCGAGCCCCGCGTCGGGCTCTGCGCTCAGCAGGCAGTCTGCTTGAGATTCTCTCTCTCCCTCTCTCTCTGGCTCTCCCTCCACTCTCTCTCTAAAACAAATCTTTAAAAAAAATAAAAACATAGTATTCTATTTAAAGCGTCTCTTATAACCACTGATGGAACCTTATTTCCGGAATTAGAGTGCAGGAAACCTCTGGTGTTTCCGTAGTAAGGGTTAGGGCAGATGGCAGCTCTCCCGACGGTGAGCGCTCTTTTAATCCCGCCTCTGCTGTTTCTGAGCCTCCCCCAGTGGCTGCGGCCAGGCCGGCGGGCCTGCAGAACAGACGGCAGGAGCGCGCCTTCCAAGTCGTCCGGGGCCCTGGCCAGCGCCGGCCAGCCTGCCCGCTGCGCGTGCCACGACACACAGCCCGGCCTCCGATCCGGGCTGCCCCTCCGAACTGAGTGACAGTCCTAGTGACGACCTGCAGCCAGAGCCCACCAAGGCAGCAGGGGCCGGTAGGGGTCGGCAGGGCAGGCAGCAAACACAGCGTGACACCCGCGCTGGGTCTCACCAGCTGCACCGCAGTGGCACTTGGGCCCCAAACTTCTGCGAAGCCCTCAGAGCCAAGTGGACCACTGGGAGTCTTCCTGGCAACGGGAAGGGGCCCCCCCGAGAGCCGGAAGGAGAAAGGAGGAATGAGGTGGTGCGGCCAGCTGACCTGGGCGGGGGGTGGCTGGGCTTTGACAAGAGTTCGGGGAGGCCGGGGGAGGAGGGGATGCTTCTGATTAACCCACAATGCAGACAGACCCAGCTTCGTAGACCTTGGGAGTGGAAAGGAGGGTGACCGAGCAAACATCCAGGCTGGCCCCAGAGCCGGAGGCGGCCACAGTTCCGAGAAGGGACTGGCCAGTGGCCCTTCTAGCTGAAGAGATGCTTTTCAATAAAAATGGCTACATGGAACTCCCCATATTTAGGAAGCACAGAGCACCCCAAATTGGCTTCTAGCCTTTGGGCTGACCACTAGACTGACAGATAATTTGCTTCTGTCTGGGCCCCGGGAAGAAGCCAGGGGACAGGCCAGTGGGACACAGAAACCAGCCTGCAGACAGAAAGCTCCTAAGCTGACGGGGCCAGCTACCTTCAAAGACCTGGGGGAAAAGGTGTCAGGTCGTTGGAGGGAAGACGACATGACCTTGAGGGAGGGTGGGCACAGGAGCAGGCTTTCGGCCTGTGTTGCTGTTTTTGTAAATCATGTTTTACTGGAACAGCCACGCCCATGTGTTCATAGGTCTGTGGCTGCTCTCAAGGGGGGCCAACTTCTAGTTGAGTAGTTGGAACAGAGACTGGCCAAGGAGCCCAAAATATTCGCTGTGTGGCCCTATATCGAACACGTCTGCTACCTGTGCTCTGGCAGCAGAAGATCTGGACGAAATGTGAAGACCAACTGGATGTTCCCCTCCCAACACAGCCCCGTGCCGTTCAGCCCAGCCGCTAGCCGCCGGCCAGGACTGGCCTCTGCCCCCCGCGCTCCGAGACGCACACGGGGCGGCGCACGGGGTTTTACACGTGCCGACTGCTTTCATCCTCACAAGTCCGGGGGGCTGGCGCCCGAGACTATATGCCCACTGCGTAGGCGAGGAAGCGGAAGCCCCAAGAGATGACACAGTTTGTCCCAACAGCGAGGGCGGAGTGGGATGGAGAGCTCGATCAAAGAGCAGGGCTGGGTTCTGACCACCACCCACCTCAGGGAAAGGGGCACTTTCTCAGCCTCAGCAAGAACCACTGTGGTCCCCCCCTGCCCCCCAGGAGACCGGTTCCTCTCCTCGAGTCACAAGTGTTGTTGGGGATTTGCACTGATAAACAGGCAGCTCCTGCCTCGGGTCAGATGGCAAACAAGCCTGCGTTCCCTGACCTCCCATTACTGCCCAGGGAGAAGGACTCCCCCCACCCCCCCGCACAGTACACGAGGCCCCTCTCTATGGCTCTGCCACGCTCTCCTCTCTGGCTGACCGACCTGTCCCCGACTAGAAGCGCGGCTGGGGGCCAGGGCCAGGAGCACGTGATGGGGTGACGGGCCCTGGCTCAGGGCTGCTGCGGCCGGGGGCGGGGGTGCTGAGGAGGTGCCACCAGCCAGCAGGGGAACGACCCGGGGTGACAATAGCACAAACGACCATGTGAGGCCCCAGTCACAGCCCTTCCAGGGCTGCCCATAAAAGGAAGTCTTTTTCACTCTGTAGGATTCAAGACCTTGTTTACACTATCTCCACAAGAAAACTTTCCAGTAGACTCTAGAAGGATTTATGGGCTGATAAAGCTCTTCTGTAAAAAAGCCCCATGTTTTACAACTAGTTGGCTCTGGTGAGGCCGAGCTGTCCTTTCCTGAATGCCCCCTTGTGGGGGCCGGGGGGGGTGCGCAGCCCCTTCACCCCCGGGGGTGGGGGAAGAGATGGACCAGAGCTGCTTGCTGCCCGGCCCTGCGGTGAAGCCGCTTAAGGGAGACATGTGTGACCCCGGAGGGTAGCGTGAGGGAAGAGGGACAACTGGCCTGCCCCCTCCCATCCTGCACACAGAGGGGCCTCCAGATTGCCACCCTACTCTTGGCCCTGCTGGGCATGCACGCAGGTTGTGAGCACGAGCCAAGACGTGAGAGGCAGCCCAGTCCACGCGGCCACCTTGCAACAAAGACTAGATTCCAGAAAGGTCCGGAAGGGCTGGGTGTGCCCCTCCTCCACCTCCTCCTGGCAGCCTGGGGACAGCCAGGATTGTCCCTTGAGCCTCCTCTCAGCTTGGGCCGGCAGGGGGACACAGCAGGTCTGCCTGACCCCTCACCCCACGCCACTCTGTCTTTGGGCTGAGATCAAACGCAGGGCCCAGGTACCGTGGGACAGCCCATGGTCGCAGCACGGCTAACCACGCGAGGACAGCCATTCCTGACTGTTTGGATTCTACTCCAGCACCCGATTCCCACAAAACCAGCACAGGATCACCAGCGAGGAGGGAGCTTTAATCAGCAAGAGGAAAAAGTGCATTTGAAAACTGCAAAACCCACCAGAGTCTACTGAATCTGTTCCAGACTCATCTATGAGTTGGTGACTCTCTGGGCCAGAAACTTCAAATTCTGTCCTGAGTGCTGTGTACTGAGGACTGGCCCTGGCAAGGGTCTGAACGTGTGACACTGGAAGTTTTATGGAAGACCATTTGGCTTCTTGGCCCAGGGCTTAGACTCCGGCACACCTCTGCTCTATCTGTCCTGCAGCAGTAGAATCCAGCCCTGCTACCCGACTTCTGAGAGCTAGGACCATGCCTTACAGTCGTCTCTGGGGTGTCAGCAGTCAGCATGTAGCCAGAGGGGCTCAAGGATATTCGTGGTGTAAGTACAGAGATGTGAGATAGGCTTTGTCATCCTTTTAAAATGCGGAACCACCAGCGAACCACAAGTCAAATCTGATCTCGTGCCACTTGTTAAATTAACTCAAACCGAGTCTCGGTGTTAGACTCGCAAGCCTAGACTCTCTGTGGCTTGGACCGTGGAGCCTTTCCTCTAAAGCCTTAAGCACACGGCGCCGTTGAGGGGATGGGGACTACTGGCCACTCCAGCGGAGCCTACTTCAACTGCTTGTGGGCATCGCCAAGATGCTGATACAGAGCTGAGGGCCCCCAGCAGCCACTGCACACCCCACCCCCCACGTTACCCTGCTGGGATCTGCTCAGACCTCTGGAGCCACACAACTGAAGTGGTCTCTCTCCCACTTTGGAGGCCCAGCAGGGCTTTGGGGCAACTCCCAAGAGCTCGGCGACTCTCCTCTCCTCTGGGACAAACAGGAGTCCATTCTTTCAGTGCCTATGTAACAAAAGAACTCCTCTCCCAGAACACTCCTTTACCTAAGCTCATCAGTAAGTTCAGGACAACACAGACACTCCCCATACAACCAACTCGCCTCCTTTCATTTTGTTATCTTCTTAGAAGGGAGAACAGTTTGCCACAGGGGTTCTGGATGGCGAAGCAGAAATGCCTCGTGAATTAAACATTTAATATCCAAGAGTAACCTCTCCATGTGAATTTCCTGGTCACTCTGTGCTGGGAACAGGAAGTTTACCGCTTTTCCCATGGCAGGTGGGCTGCTTCCCAGGCATATTAAATTAATATCAAAACTCCAGTCACCAGGAGGTAGGTCAACTTCAGGAGTCCCACAAGTTTCTCAGCGGCCAACACTTATCTGAGTCAAAGAGAAAGCTCAAAAAACAATACCTCTCCTCCCACCACCCCCAAACCATGTGAACGAAACACACACCTGGTTTCTCGGACTGTCTCTAAGCTTGCCACAACACCCCAGGTTCTAGCCACCGCCTCTGTTCTGCACCAGACACTTGGATGCAAATTCAGTGGGCATCACTCCTCATACTCCATTACTTAGATTTCTGCTCTGAAGGAAGATTTTTCTCTTAATGGGCTGACAAGAATAGAGTGACCACACTGTTCAGACAGAACAGTACCTGTGAGAGAAACTGGGAGTCAGTGGGCTGTGGTAGCCAGCCCCCAGGGACCCCCACCTCCTGGTATGCATGCCCCCTGTAATCCACCATGTCACAGAGGGCTGCCCCCTGAGGTTAGGCCATAAAGGCCACTGTGGCTTCTGCTCTGCCCTGGAATCACTTGCTCTTGGGCAGGGTGGGCAAGCTACAGGCGCCCATGGCCCAAATCTACCCTACGGGCCGATTTTGTAAGCCCTAGGAGCTAAGAATGGTTTCTATATTTAAAAGTGGTTGAAAAAAAATCAAAATAAGAATAATATTTTGTGACGTGAAAATTATGGGAAATTCAAACTTCAGTATCCCCAAATCAAGTTGTGTGGGGGCACAGCCATGGCTCGATCACATGGTATCTGTGACTGCTTTGGTGCTATGACAGAGGTGAGTGGCTGTCATTGGGACCATATAGGCCCCTGGAGCTGAAAATATTTCCTCTCTGCCCTTCTAGAGGAAGCGTCTGCTGAGCCCTGCTTGAGGAGAAGCCCACTGCCTGGCACTTGGCCACACGGGTATGCCACCCTGGAAGTGGGTCCCAGCCCCAGTCAAGCCTTCTGCTGACTGCAGCCCTGGCCAAGAGACTCGGAGCCCGAGCCGTTCAGCCAAGCCGCTCCCGGCTTCCCAGCCTTCGGAAACTCCGTAGGATGGCAAATGCTTATCGTTGTTTTAAACTATTAGGTTTGGGATAATGTTGTACTGTAATAAAAAACTGGTACAGGTCGGGAGAGGGAGTGTTTCCACGGTAGGCAAGAAAATGCACTAAGTGACCTTTTTTTTTCCTTTTAAACTAAGTGCCTTTTGAGTCTAACTTTGGGTCCTGAAGTCTGAAGAGGCTAATTGGGAAGGTTCTCGAGGGACCTGGGAAACCCCGTTGCCTCCCACCCTGTCTCAGCCACCCCCCACCCCCCGCCATATGCACTGCCCTCTGAGAAGCAGAGTCTCCTGTCACTGGTAGGCCTAACTCTGAGCCCCATGTCTAGGACCATGCAAATTTCCTACTCTAGGCCCATGCTCAGATGATCAGTGGGTTCCCCTGCCCCCAACACACACACACACACACACACACACACACACACACACACACACACACTCACACCGATGCAAGGATGCTGCTTTCCCTATGGCAGTCGTGGGTCCTCTTTCTTAATTCCGTGCAAACTGTCTGTGGGATAGAACAGGCTTCAGCTGAACAAACATTCAGAAGCAGCAGTTACAGGGCATAGGGCCCAGCTAATGTACTCTGCAGCACAGGGGTGCTACACTGAGTCTCCCCCAGCCCGTGGGCCCTGCAGCTGCGCAGTCAGGGCCATGGGAACAAGGCCTCCCACGTCTACGTGGAGCTGGGGAGGTTCAGTCTTGGTAGCAACCAAGTCCTTCAGAAAAAAACACAAAACCGTGGTTTGTTGACAGACAGTGGTTTCTGCTTCCCAAGCTGTGGCAGCCAGACCCTAAGATGCGCCCCAAGATTCCTGCCCCCGGTGTAAATGCGTCGTGTAACCCCTCACCTGAATGTGGGTTGGACTAAGGAAGATGACGGGATTTCACTCAGTTATTTGAGTTTTCTCATCCGTGGACTCTGAGTTAACCAAAAGGGAGATTATCTGGGGGTAGATGTGGCTTAATCAGGTAAAACAAATGGTAAAAGCAACAGAGAGATGCTCTTGCTGGCTCTGAAGAAGGAAGCTGCTCCGGTGGGAGAAGACCCGCTCTCTGGAAGGACCCCAGTCCGCAGCCTCAGGGCTGAGGTCCTGCGGACAACCTGAAGGGCGTGGAAGAGGGAGGCCCAGAGCCTCAGATGATGGCGGCCCCAGCCTACATCTGATTTCAGTCTGGTGAGACTGAGCAGAGGGGCCAGCACACCTGTGTCTGGATTCCTGACCCAAGGAAACCGGTGAGAGATTCAAATGAGTGACGCTTTCACGACTGTTGAGGCCAGTTTCCCTGGTACCCAGCTGACATGGTATCCGACTCATATTTGCAAACCACCCCGCCACTCTGAGGCCCCAGCCTGAGGCAGCGCTCCCTTGAGGCAGATCTAGGGGTCTTCCACACAGACACGGAGACAACCAACCACTCCTCTGGGATCCAAACATGTCCTGAAAAGCACTTCTGGAAAATTCCAGAATTGGTCCTGAGGTACTCCCTTCTACCCATTGGGATCCAGAAGAATCTCTGAGCCCCACCTTAACGTGCCTGTGGAAACCAAGTGTATCGCCGCCTACCTGTGCCCGTCCCTGCCCTGCCCCCGACGACCCAGCCGCAGAACACCTTCGCACCCTCCTCTGACTCGTTCCTCCTGTGCACAGACAACGCGGCCCTTTTGCCTTCCGCGGCTCTGACCTCCGCCAACAGAGGGGTCCTAAGAACGCCGAGCAGTGAGGCCCAGGACGCATCATGGATGCTCTGCCCTTATCGGACAAACCTCAGGAACATGACGCTGAATGTCTTTTGTTAAAAAGAAGTGCCAGTGCCAAACCACCAGCGCCCAAAGCTGGGCGTGCCCAGGGCTGTGTCTGCAGGGAGGTCAGCTGAACCTCGAGCCAGGTGCCCCACGGGTCACTGCATGAAGCTCCGGAGAGCATGTGGTTTTCATGGCTTAGGACTTCCATCAGCACTTAGCAGGGAAGAAACCCGAGGGAGCCCCTGTGGCGGCGGCGTGCGCGGGCCACCATCGCACTCAGTGCCAGCCATTGCATCGGAACCAGAAGCATAAGGGAGATGGGGTGAAACTGGGGCAGCTCCATGAAGGCACGGGTTCCTGCCATCAGGATGACCCACTTCTAAACGGCCTCCTGGCCGTCACGGCACCTGCAGGGCCCGAGAGACTGGCTCTCAGAACCCCTCACCACCCCCGCCCCCGGGGGTCACTGATCAGGGAACTGGGAGGGGGAGCGGCGGGGGCCCAGGAGGTACATACAGCATGTCAGGGCAGTTGTCCGGCTTGTCCAGAAGACCGCCCTCCATAACGAAGCGAAGGACCTGCTCGTTGGACAAGCCCTGGTAGGGCTGCTCGGCCAGCGTGGCGATCTCCCAGAGCACGACGCCGAAGGACCTACGGGACACAGGGAAAAACGTGAGGGCTCAGAAAGCCGAGGGCAGACCGCGCAGCCCTTGCCTGCCCAGCACCCCCCGGCCCCGGGTGCCAAGCGACTGTCCGCTGAGCGGCAGCTGAGCGCCTCCTGCAGTGTGCCCGGCACTGTCTTCTGCGGTTGCTGCTCATGTTCCCCGCACAGGAGACGCAGCCCCCAGGCACGGTGGAGGAAGCCGGGGTGGAGGGGGTTTGCCGGGTCCCCCGAAGGGCTAGGAAGCACCTGCACGCTCACGTGAAGGCCAGACAAGCTGAGTTGAGGGCCCCAGCCAGGCCGCCGGCAGGGCAGTGTCTCCCAAACGTGCTCTATCCTGTCATCAAAGGCAGATCCCCAAGCCCTGCCGGGACCCTGGTATAGTGGGCTCGCATGCAGCCTGCCACAGCCAAGCCCGTCACGCACTCTCCGACCGTGGAAACTTGGGCGCAAGGAGCTCTCAGTGCTGCCTGCGGAGTAGCGTCTCCTGGTGAGTTTTTAAAACACACCGATGCCTGGGGTCCTGGATCACAGTTCTCATTTCATTGGTGTGCAGTGTTGGAAAGCTCACCGGGGATCTCCCAGGTCCGGTGGGGCCAGTGGGGAGAGAAGCCCCACGGGGGCTGGGGTTGCGGCTGGCCTGTGGAAGGCTCAGTCTCAGGACGGGGGGTGGTGGGGGGAAGCGAGGAGGGCAGTACTGGCTGGTTATGGGGCTCACGGGCCGCCAGGCATCCTTAAGCAGAGTTTAGCCCAGGCGCAAAAGGGGCTGAGGAGTCAATTCAGCAAGGGGAGCAGTGAGCAATTCTGCCAAGCATGCAGTTTTGCCTGTTGGTTTAGAAGATCCAACTACTGGAAAACAAATGAAAGTATATATACACGCACATAGAAAGTTCAGGTGGATAATGTTGAAAAAAGCGATGCTGTAATCTGCAAAATAAAGGTGACTTCCCAACACACGCTGCCATCTTGCACACATTTTCCTCGGCCTATTTGCCTTTACATTCGGTTCATTTCGGCAGAATAAAGCAGGCTTGTCAGCAGCCAACGGCCCAAGGGGCTTCCGACGGAACCCGGCAAGGCCAGGGGCACGGGCAGATCCACACCGAACATTCTGGGGCCCGGCACTTCCCACGGAGAGCTCTCGGGCCAGGAGTGCCTCCGACTCTGTACCAGAATGTTCTATTCATTGCCTCAGCTATAGCTCCTTTGCCATGAACAAAAGGTTTCTGTGCAAATTGGTACTAAGAGCAGATGTGAGACACAAATATAGAATCTTAGCGGAGGACTGACCCAGCCAAGATCCTTTTTAATTTCCAGTGACCAAGAAACAGTCTTCAGTATTGCACAAGAGATCCAGAAAAGCCAAAGACCCAGAGGCCTCGGTGCGGCATTTGGAGGCTGGGGCCCAGGGCAGCTAGCTTCTCCATCAGCTTCGGCGGCGGGGGAGTGGGGGGAGACCCACACGTCCCGCGGGGCTACGGCTCCTCACCGTCCCGTCGGCTAGGCAGGACAGCCCAGGAAACGACAAGCTTGCTGTTTTTACTGGCTGTGGGCCTCGCCTGAGGGGTCACCTGAGAGCACGGTTCCCTCGCAGAGCCACACGCCTTGCACAGGCTGCAGCAGCCCGGCCTTGCTCACCAGCGCCCGCAGCGACCCTTTCTGCCGCGGGTGCTCGGCCTCAAGCTCCCGGCCCCTTGGCTACCCAGGAACTTCCCGTGTTGCGACCTCACGCCTGTCCCGCAGCCCTGCTCTTCTGGTCCCACTTGAGCAGTCCACCCCAGGTCCTCCATCCCTCGGCCTCGTCGGGGCCCAGCACCGTGCCCGTGGTCCCCCTCACCGGGCCAACAGTACCCCCCGTTTGGGCGCTGGCACCTGACTCCACTGCCTTACTCTCCAGCTAACATGAACATCTTATTTTATTTTTTTAAGATTTTTATTTATTTATTCGACAGAAAGACACAGCGCGCGAGAGAGCACAAGCAGGGGCAGAGGGAGAGGGAGAAGCAGGCTTCCCACGGAGCAGGGAGCCCGATGCGGGGCTCGATCCCAGGACCCTGGGATCACGACCTGAGCCGAAGGCAGAAAGGAGCGTACCGACTGAGCCAACCAGGCGCCCCAAACGTGAACATTTTAAAACACAGTGCCAGGTCACGCTCCTGTGACACGCTTCCTTCAGAAGCTTTACATGTCTTCGTAGAACCTGAAGGATCAGGCCCAAGCCCCTAACACAACGTTGGTCTGAGGCCTTACTTGGTTTCTCTCTACCCTAATTCCCTCAAGGGAGTCCCGCCGGCCTCCACAGGCAGCGAGCCCAGGCCTGCCGCCAGGGCTCCCTCCCCGACCCCCCACAACATTCCCACTGACTGGAACCTGCACCCTCATGTCCCCATCGGTGACAATTCATACTTTAGGGTGCCCTACGACCCCATCTCTTCTGGCTAGGCTTCCGTGACTCTAGCCTGTCAGGATTGCTTCCTCTTCCCCGTAAGACTTCACCCCTCAAGGACAGGGAGTGTGTCTCCAGTCACCCTGTTCTTGCACACGCCGAGCATGTCCTGAGCCTCATCAGGTCCTCGTGATCACACCCGTGAAATAACACAGCAGGTAAGACGCCAGGCTCTCCCCCAGATGCCTTCCCTGGAGTGACTCTCGTGTGACATCCTTGTCGCTTGTCAGCGAGGGCCACTTAATGCTGGAGTCCGGTCATCCTTCACAGGATGTGACCAGCTGTATGGAGTCTAATGGACGGAGGCCGAACCATCTCTACCCAACACCAGGATGGCCCCTGGGGCATCACCACTTGTCACAGGGGCCGTTTAAACACTGATCAAGCTCCTGCAGACCCCGTAGGGCATGCAGACATTCCTAAACACACCTCACCCCTCACCTCACAGATGGAGCAACCAAAGCCCATCATTTGGGATGAGACGTCCCATGGTTTGACCAAGGCCACACAGCCAATCAGAAATAGGCAAAACCCATGTGCTTTTCAAAGCAGGTAATTTGCCATGTGGCACTGGTATTAATGCCATCATATAAAACCAAGTCATGAATTTTGTGGACACATTTCTTCCTGAAACACTGGACAAATGCCTTTGTGTGACACCTTTCCTCATTATGAGCACTGTTCTCCCCCAGAGAAGGGACAACTTGCTGTGAATCTCACAGGTCAGTGCCAGTGCTGCCTGGGGTCAGCATTAAGCAACTACGCCTCAGCACACCAAGACGGGATCGGGTCAGTGTCCCACCCGCCAGCAACTCAAGACCTACAGAGAGATCCACGTTCCCTGCTCTCATTCATTAGCCACTAAAGAAGCAAATGATTATAAGTGCGTGCAACCAGCCCTCGATATTTGTGGCAGTTTGGAAACCTTAGTGAGTCAAGACATGAAGACTATTGTAGGCTGATCCAGATGCCCAGGAAGGGAACACACTCGTGTCTTCTAACCCAAAGGCTGGGATACAGCCCTACAGAGGAGCTGTAGAAGGAGCCAACAGTGTCCAAGAGCCTGGAAATAAAATCTCAAAGGGCCACAGAAAAATATGGAAATGTCCAAACTAGAGAAAAGTGACCACCTTCCTTGTGACTCCAAGGCCCATCTTATCAAAACCAGAGCAGGGTGTGCACTGTGCCACAGAGAAGGGTCAGCAGGTATCACCAAGAGATGGATGTAGGCATAATAGGAGCAAGACCTGCAAAGAACAAGGATGTCTTAAGAAGTAGGGTGGTCTGTTTTTGTGAGGGAGGGAGTAAGCAGTCCCTAGAGACGTGAGCAGAAGCTCAACAACTAGCTGTCAAAGGTGCCATGGATGGGACCTGGGGGCTGGACGTGACCACAGGGATACCGCCCAAAACTGAGATTCTGGGTCTCCTTTACAAAGTCAAATAAAATTCTTTGTCTCTCTTTCTAGATTTTCAACTGTTTAGGAATGACTATGCTATGGAACACATTCTAAAATGATTGGGGCACCTGGGTGGCTCAGTCAGCTAAGTGTCTGCCTCTGGCTCAGGTCATGATCCCGGGGTCCTGGGATCGAGCCCCCCGTGGGGCTCCCTGCTCAGCAGGCAGTCTGCTTCTCCCTCTCCCTCTGCTGCTCCCCCTGCTTGTGCTCACTCACTCTCTCTGTCAAATAAATAAAATCTTAAAAAAAAAAAAGAAGAAAAGCCTTTAAAAAAAATGATTTCCATTCTTTCGACAGGGAAAGCTTTAAATTCTAGGCAGCTGAGAAACCTTCCATATTCACCAACAGCCCGGCTGGCCTACCCTACCTACCTGAGTTACCCTCAAAGGCTGTGTTAAAAAAAAACAAAAATCTAAAGTACTCAATGCCTGGACACTGAATGGAATGAATACCAAATACTCACTCTTGTTTATATAAATATATTATTGGTTCATAACATCCATGCCATCAAGTGGGAGAACACTGGCATTATATGTCCCTTCGTTGCTGCTTGTCGCAATCATTGCTAACCAGACTTTGAGCAAAATTAGCCCGGAGACATTAATAACTCTAGTTTTATCTTCCTATTCTGCCCCTTGTTTTCCCTGACTCTCACAGCTTTTTCTATTTTATCACACTGTAAGCTGACCTCGGAGCTTTTGGAGGTATGGAGGCTAGAATAATCAGACACATGAACAGACCCAGGCCTGTCCTCCCCCCATCATCTCTACATCTAAAAATGACGGTGAGCACTTTGTCTTGACAGCAAAGAGATAAGTATCTTGGACAGGCTGATTGCAAAACAGGTCTCCTACGTGAACTCGAGAGGCAATCGCGCTTTGCCGGGTCATATTCAAATGCTATTTCCAATTTGCACCTGTCTTCAAAGTAAGATCCAAGGCCCTCGAACTGTGAAAGGTTCACGAGGTTATAAAAAAAGACGATGTCGGTCACTATTTAAATAGCTCCTCTATGTGGTCATCCAGGCATTTGGAGTAAACAATATCATTTCTGTAACACATCAGCAATGGGACCTCCTGAGAGGACAGCCAAGAAAGTAGCTGATGTGCTAGAAGGTAGATGTGCCAGGACCTCGGCCTGCCAAGGACCTCAGTTGTATTTTAGAGCCTGACCTCCTCTCTACAATGTTGCTGATGAATCACAATGAACAGTACTACTGAGAGTCCTCTGCACTCCTCAGCTGGTAAGCCTTTGACACCAAGATACATTTATTATTAAGGGAGACATTTTGCTTTCCATACCATCCCTGGGTCAACGATGATGGTGCCCACGGAAAAAGGACAGACAGCAGATGGGAAGGAGAAAACACATCCGGACTTGTGAGCTTTGGGTCTAAATAAAGTAACGTCTGCAATCTGAAGTTTTAATTAGGTAAGGCAGCCGCACACACACACACAGTGGCTGTTGGGAAAGAGAAAGAGAGCAGGCAGGCAGGGGAGAGGTGAAATTCTCGGACTCCTGGTGCCCTGTCTCCAGGGCTCCTGGCCCCTTAGTGAGCAGCTAAGGATCGAAAGAAATGTTGGTCCTATAAATTCTTTAGATCCCACAAATGCCCTCAGCTAGCCTGCCCACAACAGGAACCCTTAGACAACACAGCAGTGTGGCCCACATAACACTTATTAGCCGAAGCTCAAAATGGGGTAAGAGTGAACAGAAAACAGGAGAAAAATAAAGCCCTTGAGACTGAGCCAATGGGATCTGTGGAGGCTGAAGGGCTCCGGGTTTGTGGTATAGGAAGTCTCTCATACCAGACGTCGGAGTGAGTAGTGAAGACTCCATCCTTGAGAGACTCGGGGGACATCCAGCGCACAGGCAGCAACCCCTTTCCTCCTTTCCGGTAATAGTCTGTCTCGTAGATGTCTCTCGTCATACCGAAATCTGTAAGGTGGAGAGAAGGCGCCAGAGTGACATACTCTGAGCAGCTCTCAGGGCAGAAGCAAAGATGTCCCGTCCCTGCTGCAAGGGAGGGCCCTACATCCACATCCAAGGGGGAGCCGCACTTTAAGGAGGCTGGACTTCAGTGTTTGCAGTTGTATAAGGCAGAATCAGTAAGGCATAACTGATTAATCACAATGACAAAGAAATACCAAGAAATCTTGGCTTTCAAATGTTTATAATTTGACTCTTTAAAAAAGCTAATTCCAGAGGAGCCTGGGTGGCTTAGTTGGTTAAGCGTCGGACTCTTGATCTCATGGTCGTGAGGTGGAACCCCGAGTTGGGCTCCGCACTCAGCAGGGAGTGTGCTTGAGATTCTCTCTCTCCCTCTCCCTTTTTCCCTCCCCCTGCTCTCTAATAAATAATCTTTTTAAAAAAGTTAATTCCAAATAAATAGTTAATTTCTTTATTCATTTAAAACGAGAAGCAGTTACACATTATCAAGTCTTACAGTTTATCAAGAAAATATGTACTGTGTAGACCAAAGGTGACTTATATATGGTTTTAAAACCTGGCGAAATAAACAAGGGCATGTTGACTCTTATTTACTCGGTAGCACTGCCCCACTGCCAGAGGAAATAAAATAGTTTTGCTGCTTAATATGGGGGAAAATATTGAAAGTACAAATTCACAGGGAAAAAAAGTACCCAGTAAGATGCCTAGGAGATGCTATTTACTAGGCCCCTGGAGCTATTACTCAATAATGTTTTTCAACATAATACTCCTACTCATTTTTGAAAATTTCTTCCATTTTCCATGTCTCTAGAAGATGTCACATAATTACATTTGATGGCAGGCTTGCTTTATAATCCTAAATTATTGCTTCTTTGTCAGATTTTGATTTTCCACTCAATCATACAACCTTTTCTTACAGGGACTCTTCCGTTCACCTTCCCAGGAGAAAGGGCTGCTCTCCCCTCTAAAATGTTCATTCATGTCTCTAACTGTGCCACAAAGTGGTGAGGCTACAAAGCAAACATAGGGAATAAAGTTCCTCGGACATTAACCAACACAATTTACTTGTACTGAGCTGAGGGCCATCGAACTGCCTCTGGTAAAATTACCTGTCATGTTTGTAATCCATGAGACACTGGGCATAGGAAAAACAGGGTTTTTGAACCCTAGTGAAGAATAAAAATGAAATGTTGAAATCTTATCTCAGAATTAATCCAGGGACATGCAAATGAGAAGACTTGCCTTTACTTGCACAAAAAGGACCAAAAAAAAAAAAAAAAAGGAAATCCCAGAAAAAGAACACAAGCTATTTCTTAACACAAAAGAAAAATTTCAAATTTTAGTGAGAAAAACCATAAGTACAAAGAAAATGGCACGATAAATGTGCTGCCTGGTTAAACGGCAAATATGGTCCTTGCTGACTTGGACTTCAAATGGCAAGTGGCACAATAGCTCTCCCACTGTGATGTGAAACCAGGAAGAGAGTAGCCTGACCCGAGCTCCTGCATGTGCCAGGGAGAGGGTAGGAAGCACGATGCCAACGGCCGGAGGAACCAAACATCTACTGAGGACCTGCCCCATGCCAGCCATGCGCTTAGAGCTTCCCTGCACCCACTTCTTCCCACCATCTCATGGGTCTGCTGTATCAGCATGCCCATTTCAGAGGGACAGAAACTGAGGCTCACAGAACTTAAGGCACTTGGCCCGAGTCTTATCTGTTATTGGCAGAACCAGGATTTAAGCTCAGGCCTTCCGGGTTCCCTAGTGCTGGGGAAGGGGAGCTGGTTAGCATCTCTGTGGGAACAATCTGAGTCCCCATGAAAAAGGGAGGGGAATGGAAAGGGAAGGGGGAAGTGAGCAGGAAGCACAAACAAAGCCCAGACAGCAGCCAGGGAGGCTCTTCCTTGGAAACCCTGGAGCATGACAGCCTCTTGAGCTTCAAGGGGCACCAGATGTGTGGATGCTTCAAAGGGCCAAATCCAGGGACACACTGGTGGCTCCTGAGTAATTCTGATGACTAAGGGATGTTTACTTTATGACGTGGCTCCACTCATCATCTCTGTCTCCTACAAATGAAAAATCACCCTCATTTATAACTATTCTAGAGAGGATACTCATTGTTCACAACTAAAGGGCCAAAATAGTTCATTCAAAATCACTGCTAAAGAAAAAAATTATTGCTAAGGAAAGGTGAGCATTTCCAGAATAGCTCAAGAGCTAGACAAAAAGGTTAGTTTTATTTTACTTTATTATTATTTTTTCTGTACTTTGAATATATCATGCCATTCCCTTCAGGCCTGCAAGGTTTCTGTTGAAAAATCAGCTTATAGTTTTACGGGTTTCCCTTGTATGTAACTGTTTTCTTTTTTTTTCTTGCTGCTTTTAAAATTCTCTTTATCACTACTTTTAGCCATTTTAATATTATGTATCTTGTCGGGGACCTCCTTGGGCTGATTTTGTTGGGGGCTGTCTCTGCTTCCTCGGTCTATTTCCTTCCCCAGTTTGGGGACATTTTCAGCTATTATTTCTTCAAATAAATTTTCTTTCTCTTCTCCTTCTGGAATCCCTATAATGTGAATGTTACATTTGATGGTGTCGCTGACTTCCTTTAACCTCTCCTTTTTCCTGTTCCATTTGGTTGCTTTCCATTACTCTCTCTTCTAGCTCATTGATCTGTTCTTCTGCCTCCTCTACTTCTTATTCTCTCTAGTGTATTTTTAATTTCAGTTATTGAGTTCTTCATCTCTGATTGCTTCTTTGGTATATTTCGTATCACTTTGTTGAAGGTCTCAAATGAGATCCTCCACTCTTCTCAAGTCCAGTGAGTATCTTTATGACGATTCCTTTGAATTCTCTATCAGGCATATTGCTCATCTCTGATTTGTTTAGCTCTGTTGCTGTGATTCGGTCCCGTTCTTTCGTTTGGGACATATTCCTCTGCCCCCTCATTTTGTCTAACTCTCTGTGTCTGTTTTTATGTGTTGGGAAAGTCAGCAAAGTCAAAGAGGTTAATTTTAAATAGATTTTGGATGTAAAGTGTCCCCTACAGTTTCTCAGGATAAATATTTGATGTTTTTCTGAACCATCATCATCTCATAATAGGAAGATAAGGGTTCTGGTAAGAGCAGGTGTTTTCCTGAGCAGCCCTGAGGTTGTATGTGGGTCTTGTTCTGTTTTTCTTTAATCAGGATTAAAAGATCAAAGCAAAGTCCGAACCTAAAGGCTGAAATGAATTTCTAACTAGTGGCCAGAAATGCAATCCAACCTTTTTTTTTTTTGGTGTTTGAGTGGGTGGTGGCAATAAGAGGTCTAACCAGCAGGTTGGTCAGCTAAGTATTATAACAGGGCAAGAGTTTAGAGGTTGATCAACTTGGGTGTGAACCCCAATAAAGGACTGCCACCTCCCTGTCACAGGGATTGCCACGTCCCTGTCACTGCTCCTGCTCTGTGTAGGTGCCTTCACCATTAGGGGACCTCACCTCTTAGAAAACTCCATGGACCACTGGGAAGACAAAGCTCCTTTCGGCTGGGAATATTGGGGGAATATTGGTAGTTTGGATGGTGACTTTTATTCCCAGATCAAAATAACCTGAGGATGTTGCCTCAATTATTTCTGTAACCAATGCTTAGAACTTTTCTGCCAAGAAATGCCTCAAGTGCTGGGAGAGGCCACCTCAGGGACCATGGCCTCAGCCCATCCTTGCCCACTACTTGTTTCGCTGTGCCCACATGTGCTATCGGGATTTGAGCCAACCCGCCCAGGTTTGTGATTGACTATCAACTGGAGATAGCCACATTATTCCCAAGAGCAAGACTGTACTCATGGGATGCACTGGAAAACCTCTTCACAGGTAGGCTAATGCCAACTCGGTCCCTGAAACATGTGTGAGTTGAGTTCTTGCTCAGATCTGGAAAGCTAAGAACACACCTCCGATTTTGACCGTGAAATCTTCGGCCACCATGCAGTTCCGGGCAGCAAGGTCTCTGTGGACAAACTTGTTGGCGTTGAGGTATGCCATGCCATCTGCAATCTCCCCAGCCATCTGGATCATCTTGCTTAGGCTTGGAGGTGCTAGGACTGGATTATTCTGTTGGAGATTAAAAAAAAAAAAAAAAACCTCAGGTGAGAATTGAAGGAGCTTTTCCCACCCTACGTTCTTTCAGGGTGTGCAAATCCATCTTTGTTCAATCTGAGCACCACAGGTCATTCTGCTAAGAAGCAGGACTTGCTCAGAAGGAACATATTATTATGGAGACCATAGCATCTGCTTCGTGGTAAAGTCATGCGCTTGCTCACTGACCACATCACACAAAGCTTCAGAGAGAAACACCAATTAGCACAACTTGGGACCAGCATTTTCTATTTTGGGTAGGGCAAAAATTATTTAAAGTGAAACTAACAATTTCTCGTATTACAAATTCTTGGTTACTCAAATTTTTATTAGTTCATATGTTCCTTTTATTTCTATAATCAAAGTACAGGCAAAAGCACGGAGAGAATATTACAAAGGCTATGTGGAAATAAGCAAATGTATCTCCCAAACGGACACTGTATGCTTTATTTCCCACATAAGCGTTGTTATAAATTATCTGATCTTTCTCTTTCTCTTCAACTTTCTTCTAAAGTACAAAAATATCGAGATTGATGTTTTCACCTTACAATGTGGCATTCTTTGGATTATTATTTTCCGTGGGCACCAAGGAAAACAGGCACTTGCCATTTAAGTCCAGGTGAAGCTTATTCCAGAGGGGGGTGAATATAAAACGGTGACATGGAACATGGATGAGCATTTCTTTCTTTTTTTTTTTTTTTTTTTTTTTGCAGAGGAGGGCAACACACTGGCTTTAGAATTAAAGAGCAATGCCTCCAAATAATAATAATTAATCCATTTGGAAAAAAGTTTATATAAAAATACGTGCCCAAATCTAACCTTAAAAAAAAATACAAAGCCAATCAGCTTGCCACAGGTTAGATGCTAACCACCTCTTGCTCGTGCTAGCACAATAGATCATACCTCAGTTTCCCTGACTACAGAGCATCTGTTACAACACTGCAAAGCCAAGTTGCTCTGACAGGTCCCACATGCCACCTTCCCAGCTCAAACCCTGTGGACCATGGGCAGAACATGCCTGGGTGGGATCACCGCTGGGAGGACGAGCTGGGACCATGCATGGAAAGTGCCTGCCAGGGCCTTGACCCTGGACAGGGTCTGTGCTTGGTGGAGATTGGGTTTGTCCAGTGACGTGCTAGTTTCTGTTGCAAGCTACCTTCTAGAAGCAGGGTAACAACCCTCCAGGTACTTCCCGGTTAGTTCCCTATGCTTGACATACATTTACCTTCTGAAGAGACTATCAACACTGTCTCTGGTGATTTAAAATACTTATCACTGAGTTTCCTGGAGAAGTGACATGATGTCCCCAAGGGTAAGCCTGAGCCACCACTTTCTTTTACACAGGAACCTTGTTTAGACAAGCTGTTTCCCCCATAACCCCTGCCCCTCCAGACCCACCGATGCCTTTTAACCTTTTCGGGGCTCTAGATATGCATGGTATGCTAGGAAATCTGTTGGTGAAATGTTAAGTTTATGCTCATGATACTTAAGCTGTGGAGTATTAAGTATATGTGTTTACTAGAAGTGGTCATTCATAACTAATACGAAAAACAGACTCAATGAAAGGAACCTGGTTGTAAATATCGGAGGAGAGGGCTGCCATTTTGTCAGCTCATGGTGCTGCAGTGCCGTTCTTTCAGACATTTCAGAGAGCGGAAATCTTTCATTTGCTCAGAGCTACTGAAGACATGTATACACAAACACCCACATTTAGCAAAGTAAATGAGCAAATCTTCACTTGGGGAGAAGATGCCAAGTAGAATATAATGAATCTGCAGGACAAGCATACATATTTTTATACTTGACATGAGTTCGGAAGAACAAGTTTAAATCTGACAAATCTAAGAGTGAATTTTAGATCTGAAAAGGACTTGGATAATCATCTTGTCCAACCCCCTTATTTTACACGTGAGGAGCCGAGGTGCAGAGGCCCGCAGCGGCTGCCTGAGGACGGCAGACAGCTAAACAGCAGAGCCAGGACTGAGACGTGTCCCAAATGTTTATTCTGTGCCTGAAGTCGGGGACGCAGGGAGTGAGGGTTCCATACTTTTCAGAGGTGCCTTGAATGAATCTGATAAGAAATACGCTGCCATGCATCTCTAGCCGCCCATCTGATCAAGTGGTTTTCCTTCACTCTGGCTTGTGAATGACCAAAGTGAGCCAGGAAAAGGCATTAAGATCCAGGGGAGCTGGGGACCCACGGAGGCAGAGCAGAGGGTGGGTGTGTTGTACCCTGCTCGCAGGTGCCCCAGGCCACACTCGGCCTCGTGACCCTCACAGAACCACAAGCATCATCTGCTGTGAATAAAGGAAGCCACATGTGAACAGGTGCTCAGAGCTCAAATTAAGGAACTACTACATAGGGGATAATTAAGTTGCAGATTAAAAGAAAACAAAAGATTAAACTCAAGCAGAGAAAAGCTGTAGAAATTCAAAAAGGGTAGAGAAAGGGAAGGATTCTGGCAGGGGCAAGCAGATACAAAGCCTACTCAACTGGAGCAAAGTTAGGGTGAAAGTAAGGACTTTGAACGCACCGAGGTGGCCCAATGAAAGGCAGATGTTGCTGGGATTATTTGTAAGTGTTTATCTACTGGTTTATTCTTAGAATTCCTCACTTTCAAGTCATGCTTCCATATGATAAAAAGCTGGCTGTGGGTTCCTGCCACAGAAGGGGAGATGCCATGGTGACTAATGAAAAATTGCACAGGATTTCAGCCGGTTTAGACTTTGAAGCTCATAACACAAATGGATCTTTTTTACTAGACGAAGCAGAGATTGTGCAGCTGAGGCGATTATCAGTCTGCCTCAGAATTGGGCCTGAAATGCGGGTGCAGAGTTTGAGAAACAAGGCTTCCCGGCCTCCAAGGCGCAGGCTGTTGACAGTGTGGGGTGGGGGGAAGGGGCGTGTGGGTAGAGAGGGGGCTCATGAGGGAGAGGCTGTCTTGTGCATGGAGCTGGGTGGGAGACCACCCCGGCACAAGAATCGCATCCATCTAACACTGAACTCTGACAAGCATTTATGTTAAGACTGCCTGCCCCAAACACTGACCCTAAACTGGGTGTGGCTGTTCCCTGGGGTGAGAAGCCGAACACGACGGGGTGGGAGGGGAATCCACTCAGGGACCAGAGAGGAGCGAGTCCATGCTAGGAGAGAAGTCAGCGGAGGAGATGGTTCCTCCTGGCCGGGGAGGTGGGGGGCGGCGGGGGGAGGTTCAGGGAGCGCGGGCGGTGGAGGAGGTAACTGGCGGTGGAAAATGGAATGCAGGAACAGACGCACGGAGGCATTAGGGAGGGGGGTACTTGAGGAATGGCAAGTGCCTCTCACAACAGCTCACAGGGCCCCCTCTAGTCAGGGAAATCTTTCACATAAAGGACCTACAACCAAGCATGCGGCAAGAAACATTCGATGCTGAGAGTAAGTAAATTTAAAGACACCATATCTCCTGGGGGAAAGGACGGATAACGTGCAAAGTCGGTTAAAACCAAAACTGACCTCTATTTCTGGCCTCAGAGACCTGAGATAGCTTTTGAGATCCCCCCGTGTCATCAGTTCCATGATGACCAGCGTCGGCTGGCCCTGGGACACGACGCCCAGCAACCGCACCTGGGAGGAATGACAAAGAGAAGGACTCAGAGGGTGAGGGTTACCCGTGACTGTCCCCTCCCACGCTTCTCTAACTGTCTGGTGCTGGGACCTGCAGAGCCCAGATGGGCAGGCCCCAGGGGGCTCCACTGGCCGGGGTCTGCCTCCTATGCACAGATGTCTAAGGGCAACCATGAGGTGATGGGGGCCTCTGGAAGGTGGGAGCCAGGGGGGTGGAGGAAGACACCAAACTCCCCAGGTGAGGCCACAGACACCCTGCGAGGCTCCAGGGAAGGGTTCTCCCTGTGTCAGGTTCTGGCTTCCTGGGGCTGTCTCTTACCACATGGTGACAATTGAACTCCTTCATCACTGACGCCTCATTGAGAAATTCAATCCTTTCACGCATGCTCGCGGCCTCGTTCACTGTTTTAATGGCCACCCTGGTTTCGGGCTCATCTTTAACCACGCCTTTGGCAACTCCTTCGTATACCATCCCAAATGAGCCCTGCCCCAGCTCTCGGCTCATGGTGATCTTCTCTCGAGCAACTTCCCACTCGTCAGGTACATACACTAGAGAAGAAGAAACCAGAACTGAGCCAGGTAAGGCAAGGGACCCCCTGGGCAGAACGTGCTTTTGAGGGAAAACCAAAGAACACAAGATGCCACTTCCTAAAGCCCACAGAGAACACTGGGAACAATGACGCAGCTTGTCCCGAAATTTCTGTCAGGCAGCAATACGGTCAAATGCTGGTATTTCTCAAAAAAAAAAAAAAAAAAAAAAAAAGTAAATAAAATCTTAAAAAAATTCTGGTATTTCAAGTCTTCAAGGATTCTGCGATAATCTGAGGATACTAACAGCAAAGAAGAACCACAAATGAGTCCAATTTGAGATGTGCTAAGTATAGAATTCACAACAGGTTTCAAAGACTTAGGGGTGCCCAGCTGGCTCGGTTGGAGGAGCGTGTGACTCTTGATCTTGGGATTGTGAGTTTGAGCCCCACAGTGGGTGGAGAGATGACTTAAATAAATAAAACTTTAAAAAACAAAACCCCCCAAAACCCATAAAGTCTTAGCACAAAAAATCATGTGAATATTTCAATAGTTTTTGTACTGATTACATATTAAAATTGATAATACTTTGCATATATTGGGTTAAATAAAGCATATCGTTAATACTTATTTCACTTGTTTCTTTTATACATTTTTTTTTTTATATGGCCACAAGAAAAACTTGAGGTTACATATGGGACTGGCATTATATTTCCATTGGGAGCACTGTTCTCATCTAGACAAGTGTCTCCAGCCTCATCAAAGACCCCAGGGTGTCTTTGATGGGTGTACAGAAACAACTGAGCTCTGGCCCCGAGGAGCATTCTGTGGTGAGCAGGGTGGAGGGACAGCCGATGAGCAGAGGGGTGTCCCCAGGGCTCTGGCCTGGGCTCTGTGAGCTCAGGGACCTCCCACAACCAGGGTGCGAGGGGCTCGGTGGTGGGACATGCTAAGACAGAGCCCAACTAGGACTTCTCCAGCCCCGGCTTTTGGTCAGTCTGGTTTAAGGAATTAAATAAGTAATTCCAGGCAGGCAGGAAGGAGAAAGAAAGAGGGAGAAGGGAAGTAAGAAAGAAAACAAAACAAAACAGAGGATCCGTCCTGCAACCCGAATGGGCAGAATGAAAACTAAATTACATCTCTGAGGAGTGTCCAATATGGCCTATATTAATGAATCTAGAATTTTCTCTCATACATATTTTTGGATTTCACATTACATGTTTTGGAATTTCATAAACGGAAGTCTACCCTCTGCATGGCTTAGGTGCCACACAGCCCCGGAGAAGAGGCTGATGCTTGCTTAGGAGAGTTAAGTATGCAAGACAAGCCTGTAGATAAGACTCCTCATAATACCCCTCAGAAAGTATAAAGAGACACTGCCTCTATCCATTTATCTCTGAAAATCCAGGCTTGCTTTTAATCAGAATTAACTATGTCGCACACCATAAAAAACGGAGTTAAAACCAATCACATTCCTTCCTTGGGAGGTCCCTGAAGTCAATACTTTGAATCCTTTTCTCTAAATTCAATCCAGCAGCTCTGACTTGAACCAGCAGTCCTAAGCCCCTCCAGCCAGCCTCAGGTTATGGGCACAACGTTATCAGCACTTCCCTCTAGGGGATTTTCGGCGTACTCTGGAGAATGGTGACATGCAGATTAGCTTTTGGAGAAAGGAGTTTTTAAAGCATTTGCGAACTGCAATGTCATTTTGTTACCCCTTGAGGATACTAGCTATAAGGTGCTTGTCAAAAGGCCAAATAAATTAAGTTCAAATGAGGTGATGGTGTTCCTACCTGTTGGCCTGGGTGACAATGAGTTGGGGTTTTGTTTATTTTATTTTTAAAGAAGAATCAAGGCATATTATGAAAGTAGGTCTGGAAAGATACACAATTTGAATTCAATTCACCAGTACTGCCTGATATTATCGTATTAATGCTCTTTCCGAACTTCCTGGATGCCTCGTAGTCAAAACTACAAATGCCCGTCTCCTGCGCTTCATTTCAAAGCAAAGCAAAGTCTCTGGAATAGTCTTATTCCATCTTTACAGAGAGGGAAAGTGGCTTTGCATTTCCCCCATAAATTCCATTGGGTGTGTGATGACTCCTTACCTTACTTTTTAAAAAAAAGCTATCATTTATACAAACAATGCATAAAAATCTTTTTTTTTAATAAGGATCCTCTCCACAAGTAACTACTATTTTAAGTTTGGTTGTGTATCCTTCCAGAATGTTCTCTATGCCTTATATACATACATACATTAATTATAGGAATACAGAGGTGTGTGTGTGTGTGTGTGTGTGTGTGTACATACAAACATATATGTGCCTATTAAAAATAAAACTTTGTGAGATCTTTAGAGAATCAGGAATAATGTCATTATTCTGCACTTGATTCCTCCTACTCAGGGAAGGCTGCTTTTGATTGGCTTTACGGTAAACAGAACTGAATTAGAAACTATTAAAGAAATCACAGCAAAACTTTACACATTTATATAGTGCTTTTGAGTGTCAAAGTGTTTTACTTAAGTTTTTCATTTGATCAGGATAATCAATCAGAATAATCATGAATCTATCTCCTATCTCCCATACATTTACATCGACTTTCACTTCACCGAAAGCCGAGAAAGAGGCAAACACTTTTTCTAAATGCATCTAACCCGATTTCACGCACTTATTCATTCACTTGACGAACCCAATCCAGATACTCCTGTGGGTCAGCTTCCCCACCCGCCCCAAGGAGCTCACCTCACGGTGATGGCGTCACACTGTCCACAAGATGCCAGAGACTGTGTCACCCCGACTTCTCAACTGCCTCACTATGTGACCTGGGCAATCTTCTCCTCTGCACCTCCCAGCCTCACCTACACACAGGCGGGCCTAAGAAAAGCCACTTTACAGGGATGTAGGGACCTATGGGATGGCATTTATAAAAGCCCCCAGCAAAGTGCCAGGTAATGGTGCTAGGACCAATGCCCCACGCTGACTGACTTTGAAAGCTCTGGATTCAAGCCCACGAGGGAGAAGAGATAGCAAACAAGGGAAAAAAAAAAAAAAAAGAAGAAAAGAAAAAGAAAAAAGAAATATCCATGGAGTACAACCCAACTTCCAAGTCAGACCTTCTCGGGCACTGAACTAAATGGCCCTCATGAGTTACTACCCGAGGGTATGTGAATGGGCCGTGAGGGTATAAATTGTGTGATCCCAGTCAGGAGGGGGTGAACAGAAGAACTCCAAGACAGAAAAACGCAGGGAAGCCATGAGTGATCAAAGACAGTCACAGCGACACCAAACTCAAGCTGAAACAAGTTGAAGAGGACGGTCTGGTCAGCTGCGGCATACCCTCTGACTAGATGTCAACAATTAAAACAGCTTTGGTCATTCTAGCATAAAATTTTAGGCGATTAGGCAAATTGATTACTGCGCTGACCAGTCATCTCTGAAGCCTGTCTTTCTTTGGGGCATTCCGCACAGTCCCAAAATTTTCAACATACTCAGTGAACTGCTGAAAACTTTGAAAAAAAAAAAGTGTTAACTAAGACGTATTTTGAGGCCAAAGTTTCCTCAAAATAATGCAACCCTCTTCCCCCTAAATTAGCCACACTCCCGAAAGCTCCCCGATCTGGGATGTCCCCAGGCAGTGACCCTGGCTTAGACACTTACCGTCGGCGGCGCTGAAGTACTCTGGGTTCACGGAAGCGTACAGCACTCCATTCCCCAGCCTGCTGTTATTTCTGTCAAAAGGATAAAATTCAGGTTAAAAAAAAAAAAAAACCCATCTCCGCACATGTCATATTTGCGCTATCAGTTTTATTTGTCCTGTTTCATTAAGTGGCTATCCAGAGGAAGGGAGCGAGGGGGCAGTTCCTGCCTGTCGGCTCTCATCGGGCCCCGAAGCCATCTTGCTAACACGTCCTTGGGCTTCTTCAGGGGCCTCGGATTAAAGCTTTTTATGAAACACTTGTTTCTTTACTTCATCAGAAACTGAAAGGCCTACTGACTGGACAGAAAAGGCTGGGCCCGGTGTTTGGAAAAAAATCTCTGCACGAGCAGCAGTTATCTGTGAGCGAGGGGATGAACCGTACTGGCCCCAATATACATGTTCTGTTGCTGCTGAATCATTAGAAAATGTTCTCTTTTTCCTGCGAGGAACATTTGATGGGAAAATCAGGTTTCCCAATCCATAAAATACTTCCTCAAAATCCTCACGTTTCCCTGCACTCAGGTTCAAACCACCAGACCAGCACAGCCACACAAGGTGTCTGAACTTTTCACAGTCACTCACCTTTTCCTGTGGAAGACATACAACATTATAACCAGCCCTCCCACTATCAACAGGACAGCAACAGGCAGAGCGATGATCAGATGGATGAAGTTTTCATATGTTACTGCAGAAACAAGGGAAATGATAAAATATCACTAGGTGCGCAAGCTGGTCGTTTTTTTGTTTGCTTTGTTTTGTTTTAGCTGGAGGTATGAAAAAAAAAAAATCCCCGAAAATTCCTTTACTGCCCTATCACAAACTAGGAATTCTGAAGGTAAACAGTGTCAGATAGAACAGTAAAAAACTCTGAGTTATTTGGAAACAAACAAAAAAAAGACAAGTGCACACAGAGGAGTGAACTCATTTTTAAAGTACAGTGTACTCTGAAATAACAGTTCAAGTGGTGGGCTCGAGTAAAATAATCTTTGTATGCAATTCAATGACTACTAGTGCATGCATATACACACACACATTTGCAAAATTAAAATGAATGGATTCTCACCTGTAGGGAGCTCAAGCTGTACTGACCCTTGTGTTTAGATCATAAATGTATTATTTAACCTGTTTGGTATGCAACTGGTGTCCTAGTACGCCATACTGACCTTTACCTGTCTTAAGACAGTTCCACAGACAATTTAAAAACACCTAACTGGATGGCACCCCTGGCCAAAGTTGCTCTGATTTCTCCCCAGACATTAGGGTCTGGTTACAAGCCTGACCGCGACATCTGCTCATCACCATCACCAGCACTTAGATGACAGGTGCCAGGCTGGACACCGGGGATGCTGCTGCAGACTCTGCCAGAAACCACAAGTCAGCATGTTCCCAGGTGGCACAACAACTAAAAAGGTGGACCGCCCACACTGCAAGGATGCGGAGAGGAAGGGAGAGGAGAGAATGGAGTCGGGGAAGCTTTGCAAGTGCAGAGGAAATGCTGGAGATGATACTGGCGAGAAGCAGGGCTGGCTCCCAAGGGGCCTGTTCAAGCCAAGCAGTTTGAACCTCATTCTGCAGATGAAAGGGAGCCAGCGTGAGCTCTGGGCCCCGCAGTGAGCCGAGCAGATCTGTGTATGTTGGGATGGCGGTGCCTGAGGTCAGCCTGAATGGAGGAGGCAGGCACGGCCACGTCTTGGAAGGTTCCAGGGGGCGGGAGGGGACCCGGCTGTGTTCTGCATTATCCAGCCCAGACCTCACAAAGAGACCACTGCCTCTTTGCTACGAATGAAGAAGGCTCACAGAGATGAACTGTCCTCCCCAGGGTCACGCAGACAGCAGGGAAGCCATGGTCCTGGGACCTTTCCTGCTCCCACAGCTCAGACCTACCCCCCACGGAAAGTACCCTAGGGGCCATGAGTTAATGGTGGTGGCAGCAGGGGCAGGACTTCAGTGACACAGAAGACGCAGAACCAATGGGGTTGAATGGGAAATGGGTGGCTGGAGAGAGAGAGAGAGGAGGATGTAAGGTTCTAGGCTTGCGTGGGGGGCGTGGATCACGGCGCCACTGACTGACCTTGGGAACAAAAGAGATAGATAGAGACTCTGAGGGCAGCAACCCTGATTTTGGTTCTGGTACTCATGGAAGTGGGAGGCACTCATGGGACACCCAAGTCGAGATGTCTATGCGGAAACGATGGAACTCACTGGGCACCCAGTGATACCCGGTAGAAGTCACGCATCAGTGATTATTTTGCCCCTAAAAATCATCATCATCATCATTATGACTCTTTACGGATTATTAATGCTATTTTAATTTTTAAAATTAAGGACACTTTCCTCAGATCACTCTCAACATGGATGCATCTCCTGCATTTTTTAATTCTTGAAAACACTCTCAACTCTCACTGCCTTTGGGAAGCCAGCCGAGTTTTAGTTTTTCTTCCCAAGGACTACTACTTACATTCATATCACTTAGCCTACTGGTCAGGTTGTACCATGTTCTGTCTGAGTTTCACAATTCAGTGGGGACACGGAGAAACTGGAACAGAGCCGGAGAGGAGCAAAATGATGAAATGGCTAGAAAATTGGTCTCTGCGACTGGGCAACAAGAAAAGGCCAAGAGACTGGAGATTATTTAGTCTGGAGAAGAAAAGTCTGAAGAGTCATTTAATAGCATTCAAGCGCATGAAGGGTTCCTAGGACAGCGGTTGCCAGAAAGCTTGCAAAGCTTCCGTCTCCTCTGAGGATTAAACAAGAGGAAAAGAGGCTACGCTGTAGCAGGAGACTCTTGTCTGACATAAGGACAAACAGCAAAGCAGGCATGCAGATTCCATTTTCCTGCAGTATGTGCCAACTTCTGCTGGAAAGAGTCCATCCAGAGGGGCTCTCGGGGTTCCCAGAGGCATCCCAGCACTCCCAGGGTTAAAGACGGGGTAGCAATGGCAAATGGGAGCGTGTCCCCTCCGAAGGGAAGCCAAGGCTCCTATTTCAAAGACTGCGGCCTGATGCTACACTTCTAAACCTAGGCTCTGTTCCTAAGGGATGGAAGCAGAGAAAAAGAGAACAGCGGAGAAGGGAAAGCCAGCCACAGCTCTGGAGAGGGTTCTAGGCATTACTGTGAAGGTTCTAGCACTGGACTGGGTGGCAGAGGCTCGCTGCCGAGAGCAGGTTAGTGGGCCCCATGGAGAATTCAGACCCTTGTAGCTGATGGAATTCTCTGCCTGAGCGATCTGTTTACCCCTAAAACCTGAACTCAGGCGCAGTTTTAGGCTCATAAAATGTTACCTCAAGGTCTGCAATTCTATGCACGCCACCCTTCTTTTGATATTTGTACTATTAGGATTTTCAAATACCTGTCTTTGACTCTTAGGCGCTAACCAGGTGGACGACTGGATTGGTTGGATCCTGAATTTAAGAACTCAGACGCCAGCTCAGGGCAGCACAGATGTTGGACCCAAGGCGGGACCACGGACGTGAGCACCACCCAATGGACCCAAAAGTGGCACCAGTAAGCACGGTGGACTGCTCTTTCACGTGGGGCAGCGCGGAACAGTATTAGGCCAAATTAGATCCCATTATCTGAACATGAAATCATCTGAAAAACTGGGTTTCTAATAAGAAACAGAAACTCAATGTGGAAATAATGAATACTTATGTCACCAAATAAAATACTGCATTTTCTCGGCCCAGGAAGCATAGGGCCCGTGGTGTACTTACACGTTTTACAACACCCAGTTTTCAAATCTGAAATCCTGGCCTAGTACTGTCTTCTAAGAATTCTGTCTTGTCAACGGCTTGAGTATAAAATGACAACATAGCCCAGTCTCTGTGCCAGACAGCGAGCGCTGTGTGCATTTGATGTGTGCTGGTGCTTTAAAAGTGCATCTGTATTTTTACTGACAGGCAGTGAAGGGGACAGTGCCTCAGTGTGAGATGCCGTTACAAAGACTCCTACCCTGGAACAGGCTGGATCAGATGGCCCCCAGATTTTGGTCACCCCTTAGGATTCTAAGCCCTAAATCCAAGCCCTAACCAGCTGCCCGAATCAGACAAGAGGTGGAATGGTCAATTCGGCGCTTTGTAAAATGCTTCGCACATAAAACAAGTTGAGAGCGAAGGCCTCTTGCTGACACCCCCCCCCAAAAGGGGCTTAGACCCTCTCCCTGACCATCAAATGAGGTAGGAACTCCAAGCAGCAGCTCCCCCTGCTCGAGCTCCCAAATGAGGTGCTGACAGAAGTGTGACCCTCCTGAAACCTGGCCAACTTGGTTCTGACAGAAAATCAGAAAGTCAGGGAGGGCCCCGACAGCCCAGGCTTTACCCAAGCCCGGCCAACCTGCTTCTGCATCTTCCAGCTCCTCCTTCCCCAAGCCTTACTTTTGGCTGGGACGTAGAAGAACACAGGATCCGTCCAGGACCCATTCCCAGAGAGAGAGGTGGCCTGGATCCGGGCCGTATAGTTCCCGGGGTTGAGCCGGTTAAGCTTGGCGCCTCCATACTTCCTGTACTCCTGTCTCGATACACATTCCCGCTGATCCTGGGGAAAATAAAACACAAGTGCCAATTCCCCACAAGCATGTGAGAAATGGGTGCCTCTTGCCGTGCTCTTGCGCGCGTCCCACCTGACAGTGATCCCGATTCGCAGTAACAGGGAAGAAACCAAGTGTTGAATGGCAGTCTTCCAGTAACTGTAAACACTCCCAAGTTCTAACCAAATATATATCTATTTTTTTGGTAATCAAAAAGAGCGCCAGAAAGAGAAAAATTTCTTTCTGGCTTCCGCCGAACGATCGTTTTCGGTAACAAAGTAGTTTCTTAAGGGGGAGAACAAGCCCCCCTCCTCATATACTCTGAGTATTCTCCTCAAAGAGTGTGGAGTTAGTCGAAGGACTTAAGTCCTCATAAAATATGGGGTTAAGTCCTCAGCTAACCAGAAGGTGACCTGTGCTGTCCTGTGGCACATGCTATCAACTGGAATGGAGACACACCCAGTTGTGGACCACTGTGCCAGCCTTACCTCGATCTGTGATCCATATTTTATTTCATACATTAGAATCAATCCGTTGGGATTCTCAGGTTCCGGCCACTTTAGAAAGATGGAGTTTTCAGGCCTCGACTCCCAGGTCACCGGCCCAGGAATGTCATCTGCTCCTTCTGTGCAACAATTTAAACAAACGATAAAGTTGGATTCGGGTCCGCCCCCGCCCCCCGGGGGGGCTACCCTGAGCATGCCCTCCCCCAGTCTGTGTGTGCAGGGCTGAGGGCGGGGACCACATATACTCCCCCAAAGCTGGCTGCTCACACGTAGCATAGGGTTTGGAATCCAAGCAATGTAATGACCTGTGAGTCTCAAGACGCCACGATACCTTTCCTCCCCTCAGCAACCGCGCCCCCTCACCCCACCCCAGAAAAAGCCTCCTGTATCAAGTACAGTCGGAAAGGAAAATCCCGGCAGCTTGAGTAACTTATTTCTGGTATTTGGCTCCTCCCACTCGAGAAAGGAAACTATGTGATGCCGTCAAACACAAGCAGCATCGAAAAGGCGCCTGGTGAGCAGAGGTGGCTGGCAGCAAGCCTCCAGGCGGCGACACGGAGCCCTCCAGGCCTGCATCTGCATGTGGCAAATGCAACTCTGATGCGGGCATGAAGGACGGCCCAAGAGCTGGGCCTGCCGCATCCACCCTTCCTCCAGCCAGTGCTAGCTGAGGCTGGGTGCTTGCACTCTTGCTTCTGCTTAAAGCAGCAAGCCAAGTGGTGAGCAAGAGTCCCTGCAAGTTACAGCCAGGGAAGGCTCTGAGAAATGAGCTGGCTTCTGTCTCTCCCAGAAGGGTGGGGAAACTGAGGCCAGGGAAGCTGACAGCGGCCTTGAGACATGCTGTGCGTCCCCTCCTAGACTCCACTTCTTCTGGGCTCCTTCTCTACTACCTGCTGACCCCGGGCAGGAAAGAGGATGGGCAGTTCACCTATCCTTAAAGATGGATGGATGGCAGTGTGAGTAATAGGCAGCTTCTAACTTCCAAAGGGGAAGGTGAAGACCCAAGAGGCAGGACCAAAGGCTACTCCAGGGGTTGACCTTGAGGAGCGAAGGTCACTCTGAGTCAAGGCAGCTAATGGATTCCACTGAACCTGACGACTCTTGAGGGACCAGGCAAATTTACATGTGTACAAATGGGAATAGGGCCATGGGAATGTACAATGTGAACCAAGTGGGAAGAGGGGAGTTGACCCCGAAGGGCGCTCCCTGCTCTTGTAGGACTTTGTGTGAAGACTGGGTTGGGAATGATGTCATTATGAATGGACTCCATTTCCTGGGCTGCTGGTCTACCATCCTGCCTACAAATGACCACCCGTTCTTTAATAAGCAGGACGGAGACTAAGGGTCATTGCCCTGGATGACAGATTTTGTGTCCATAGAACACAAGCTTCTCCACTGGGCTGTGAGTCAGGAGTGGGGTTCGCTGGATCACACCCTACCTGCAGGCATGGTTCTTGCAAAAACAAAGTTGGAGGCGCTGCAGCCCAGCTTCTCAGCCTCGTGGTTACAGCTGTGGATGTCAATGCGGTACAAAGTAAAAGGCCGGAGGTTAGAGATTACAGTTCTCTCCCTGTTATCCACTCTGCTCTCAAAGAAAGGGTATTCTGTCTCGAGCTCTTCTGGGTCTGTGATATTATAGGTATCTGCCACCGTGGTGTTCCTGCTTCGGCTAGACATGGTGGTGTTGGTGACTTGGGTGATGTCTCTCCGCTTCCTTTCAGGTCTGCAAGGAAGAGAGAAACTTGGCCTGTAAGTGCCTCTACCTCTTTTGTCCCTTCTATGACTTGGGTTAGAGTAACGGAAAGAAAAGAAAAATCTTAACTTTGGATGAAAGGAGCTATTCAGCCCCTTTGGATAAAGACCAACAAATAATACGGGGATTTCCTTCTTCGTTATTTATTTTGCTTTCTCTACTCTGCAAACCTCAGAATCAGCGCACAAACTGCCCCCTGGCTCCCAGAGTGGTTACTCGATTGTATCTAGAGGCAAACAAATGCCTCAGTCACTCCTGGCCCTGCAGCATCCTGGCCCTTTGGTCAGAATGTCCATGCCACCTGGTCCACTGACCTTATGGTTAAGCATTAAACGTGACCACCCTGCTGGCCACACTAAGATTTATTAGGGGGTGAGGTGAGAGGTGAGCTGTGTGGTGTAGGCCCCAGAGGGATGGCTTCTCTGACCCCCTTTGTGGAAAGAAAGATACCAAGCAGCGAGCACTTGCTTGGACCCCAAGACCCTTCCCTCTGGGGCTCCCACTGACTCTCTCTTCCTCTGAGACCCTAGTGTCTGTATTTTTCACACTCCTGGAGGTCCTTCCAGTCTGGCTCCGCCTTACACTGAGCAGTGACCTCCTGTGGCCTCTCCAAGGCCCCGCTGTTGCCAGGGGTAGAGTCACTGTCATGGCCCTGGACTAGGGCTTAGAACAACAGCTACAAAAGCAATAGGACAGCAAAAGAGAAATCAAAAGAGAATGTTCACACCCAAAGGGCAGATGAGGCAGTCCACACAGCTGGACAGGGGGACTGTTCCAGTGGCTACTGTTGTGGGCTTTGGGCTCCCCTCAGAAACCCTGAACACAAGCCCCTCGCATTTACTGAAGGCAAGAGCACCTGAGAGTAAGCACCCAGACGAGAAACAGCCACCCTCAGGCCAACCACCAGAAACAGTGGGAAGCAGGCTACTGTCTGTTCCGCACTGAGACTGTCCGCGGGCGTCACGCATCCTGTGCGCAGGCAAAGGGTGGGGAGGAAAACAGAACCAAGCTCATCCGGGAAAGAAAACCAAGAGCCCAAGGCAAGGAGAAAGATCACAAAGTGGGAATGCTCATCAGTTCTCATGTAGGGGAGAAAGAGAAGTCCCACAGGGAATCAGGGCACCTGGGAAGCCATTTGTGGCTCAGCTGACCCTCAGCAGGCTTCCTGTGGGTCCTTATTTGCCTTGAAGTGAAAAACTTGGAAGGGAAAAGCAGGGGGCTTGGGGAAAGGGCCTCTGGCTCCCCAGTCTGCCTGGCCCATGGATTCCCCTGCACAAAATGCCATCACCACTTTTGTGCAATGGCCCAGTGGGTCCTAACCTAAAACACGAACCATTCAACCCAGATATGCTCATTCCACCAGGTAGAGAACTGCAGAGGCAGGCCGTGCGCAAATGGCCCCAAGGCATTCGCTTTCATAATATTAGGGGAGGAAAGATTTAGGAGATGAGGCTGATCATTTCCCATCCTCACACCCCGCACACCAGTCAACCTTCCTGGAAGGGAAGGACACAAGGAACTACATTTATTGCTGGGGAGATCTTTTTTGACACCTACCAGAACAAATGTCCTGCCTTCTCTTCAAAACCAATGCAACACATAAAACCAACACAACACACCCTTATGTCTATAAGAGAGAAGTTGCTTGGGTTTAATCCACTGCAAAAAATATAATGCTCTGCCCAAACCCCTCCCACAGCCCATCCCCATTTACCTGGGATTACACCTGTTACTAGTGACACCAAGTTAGGGACTGGGGGGAGGGGGGGCCACACGGGACATTATCAGGAAGACAGGTATGGGGCAAGCAGAATGGCACACCCATGATTCTTTGTAAACAGCCCCATTTCCAAATGGTGTGACCAACAGCAAGGATCACTGTCACCATTCCCCACTCCCACCCCATGACACAACTAGCTTCATCGGAAAACCTTGCAGTCTTCAACATCTTCCAACATTTCAGTTACTTAAACCCAACTACATGATTTAAAAAATAAAGGCAGTGGCCAAATGAAAGACATTCACCACCAAATACGGACTCCAGAAAGCAACTTACAAACTCTAGCTTCCATTCTAATTCAAACCATATGGCATACGTTGGACAATGTGTAATATACCAAACCTGACTTGACTGGCTTATTCTTGGAATGAATTGAAAGAGGGGCGCCTAGGTGGCTCAGTCAGTTAAGCGTCTGCCTTGGGCTCAGATCTGGTCTCAGGGTCCTGGGATCGAGTCCCGCATGGGGCTCCCTGCTCAGTGGGGAGCCTGGTTCTCCCTCTCCTACCCGCTTGTGCTCTCTCTCTCTTGCTATCTCTGTCACTATCTCTGTCTCTCTCTCAAATAAACAAATAAAATCTTTTAAAAAAAGAATGCATTGAAAGAAATAAAAATCGTCTTTGGATAGCTTAAACAAAAAAAACCTTCCTTTATGATTCAATCATTCTGCCAGCCAGACATTCCTTCTATCAAAATTGTGTTGCAAATTGAGTGGACATGAGAGTTATACCCTTGGTAGGAGGCATTAAAAAAAAAATACGAACTTCGTATAAATTGTGGCCATTCACCGCAGGCAAATATAGTATTTATATTCATCCTAAGAAAAGCCAGAATAGCGGGTCAGACTTGTCTTAGGAGAGAGAATGTCGGGGGCCAAAGTGGTGGACGCACGCACTTGTCAGGGGGGATTTGGCATAGAGGAAACTTATTTTGAATTCAATAACACAAACACAATGCATTGCTAATATCCGTGTCACCCATAGCCGGCCTTCACATTGCCTGATCTTGCATTCCCCATGTGATGAGAAAGAAAGGTACTGCTTTGCAACTACAAACTGAAAGCTCGGAGCCCTTTAGCAAAACTTCTCCAAAGCCTGGACTCACAACCTGAACTTCTGGAGGGCCGGTGGGATGAGACAGCAACGGAGCCAACAGCTTTCACTGGAGAATAAACAGGTAACTCCTGCCCAACCTGTTTGGGACACTCTCAATCCATCTGCTTCTGTGTCCACAGCAAGTGGCACTAGCTGAGCCTCTCTGCAGGCATGGGGGGGGGGGCGGGGGATAGCCCACGTTGAGAAGCAGTGCTACCAAAAAGGCAAGAGCCCTAATGTGTCAAAATGTAGGGCCAAGTCCCGAGTGGATCGTTCATGAATTAGGCTGTTGGAGAAGTCACTATGCCTGAATTCTAGTTTTTAAACATCTCTGAGCTCCTCAAACGCTCTTATTCTTGGAAGTACACATGACCTACAGACAATCGGGACTAATACTTGAACCACAGCTCTAGGAGGAGAGGTCTCCAGTGGAGCAGGTCAGGGGGACCCACAGAAGGCTCTCCTACCCTCACACTCCAGTGGTTTCAACTCCTAGAGAGGAGAGGAGGGGCAGAAAGGCACAAAGCAATGAAGAGCTTCGTTCTGAAAAGAATGCCCGCCACCCTAAGAGGTCTTTCGTTCTTAATGATTTTTCAAAGTAAGTTGGCTATCTTGGACTATTACCCAAATATCAGGAAGGTCACTTGACAGGAAAAAAAAAATCACTTTAAAAGCCATTTGTCGTTACAACCTAAGTAAGCCTTTAAAGGCAAAGTCATTACAGAATAAACAGAAGCTATGGGCTTCTGGTGCCTCTCGGGGTCGGGGGCAGGAAGAACAGCGATCACAGAACACGCCGGGCAGCGGGCTGGTGGCTGGGGCACCGTGGGGACGAGGAGCGCGTAGGTGCAAGCGAATCCAGCTCCTCCACTCACATTTCAGCCAAGAGGCTGTTTGTAAATGCCACACTATAATCTTCCAGGAGGAAAAGGGAGACGGGGACCACCACTCTGTTTCCATCTCCTTCCCCAGATATTGCGGGTACCCTGATGGACTCCCCTCCATGTTTTGTTTTGTTTTTTTAAACCATTTCTTATTGTGGTAAAATAAAATTTTTGATTAAAAAATACTCAAATCTTGCCATTTTAGCCATTTTTAAGTGTACGATTCAGACACTGATTGCATTCATGATGTTGTGCAACTATCACCACTGTTTCCAACATTTTTCATCACCTCCAACAGAAGCTCTTAGACCCATTAGGGCCCAACTCCCCATTTCCCCCTCCCCCCAGGCCCTGGAAACCTGGCATGCACTTCCCATCACCATGAATTTGCCTCTGGTAGATGCTTCCTATGGGTGGAATTCTACAGTATCTGTTCCTTTCGCATCTGGCTTCTTTCACTTAGCATGATGATTTCAACGTCCATCCGAGTGGTGCCCTTCGTCAGAATCTCATTCCTTTTTACGGCTGAATAACATGCCATTGCATGGCTAGGCTGTATTTTGCTTATCTATTCATCCCCTGATGGACACGCGGCTTGTTCCCAGCTTTGGCTACTGTGAGTAGTGCGGCTTTGCACCTTCACCTCCCTCCGCTCTTTGTCCGCTCCTTCTCAAACCTGCTTGTCAAGGGTGCCCGTGGCACTGGGCTGTGCTTACAAGTTGGGTCGCCTTCAAAACTCACTCTGGTCTTTTCCCTCTTGCTTCACGTCTCCTCAGCTGGGCTTCGAGAGGCCACAGGGAGAAGTGGGATGAGCAGGAAGGGCCCGCACACCAGCTCTTCCATTTGCTCGTCTCCAAGGGTGGGGGCCTCTCTGAGCTTCACTTCCCTGCCCCCCACCCCCAGCCGAGAGCCCACCTGCCCTCAGTGGGAGGCCTTGTGGCCGAGGCAGTGGCACTGACGTGCCCACGGCCCCCCCTTTCCTTCGGGGCTACCTGCCTTCCACAGGCACCCCAGTCACCCAAGCTGGCAGCGTGTTCTGTTCTCCCCCCCTCCTTGATGGCTACAGGGTTCTGCCTTGAGGCTGCTGCCCTACAAACCACCCGCGGGGAGAGCGCGCCACAGAACCCACCCGAGGAGCACCAGCCTGGAGACATTTTCCAATGACACTTGGTACCTGGGCACAAAGATGGAGTTGTGCAGAAAGTTCTCGAAGACTTTTCGGTACTCGGCCTCCTCCTTCTCGGCCTGCTTCTCGGCCTCGGTTTTGGGGCAGGCGCAGCAAGGCCCCTTCTCTCCGCCACACACCTCGGTCTTGGGATTCTCCGTCACCTCTTCCACGTCGATGGTGCCGTCGGCATACTTCCTGATGGGAATTTTGTCTGCTCGGGAAAGAGAAGCCCGACAAGAGCAGACATGAAAGCCAGGTCAGACGGGCTGGGGAGCCGAAGGGGGCAGCCGTCAGTGCGTTTGATCGAGAATGTGGCCGGTTTCCACCGAAGGGCTCCAACCGTTAGGGGGCTGTGTGTTACGTCGGGGCGTGGCTACGTGTGGACGGCGCGAGTTGGGCTCCGGGTCGCCCCACCGTCCCCCCCCCCTTACCTTTGGAGCAGTAGTTGTGCCGGTAAAGGTAGCTGTCCTGAGGCTGCCGCTGCCATCTCACGATGTAGTAACTGAGGTTGCCGTTGGGCAGGGAGGGCGGGTTCCACTTCACAATGAGCTGAGAAGAGGAGTTGGACGCGGAAAGAACGTCCAGGGGAATGGAAGGAACTGGAAAGGTGAACAAAGGACGCTTCAGACAATGGAATGAACCCCGAATCCAGGCAGTCAGACACTCGCGGCAAGGCCACAAGAAGCCACGGGTCGGACTGGATAGGGAAATGGCAGTGAATGCGGACCCGTGAAACAAGAAGTGAACCTTGTTCCGAAATCATATTAATTTAAATGCCCACATTTCTCTCTGTAGTATCTACTCTCAGGTCAGCTCTGTGAAAACAAACATGACTGAGCGGCACATGGAGAAAGGTCGGGGCGGGGGCACGCCAGGATTACCAGTGGGTGGCTTAAAAACCTACAGCTAATTCAAACACTGGATTGCTCTCAGTTATTACATCGGCCGTTCTCTAAATCGCCTGACTCCAGCAGTTCTAGCAAGGGGTGAAATGGACTGACTTGGGTTTCATCTGAGACTCTGGAGCTCTGATAAAAATGGCAAGACGCCAAAATGAAAGGGGAAGTGAGAAAGGGCGGGAGTGTGCGTGCACGCAAGTGTGTGCATGGGGTGTGTAAGAGGTGTGGAGGAAAGCCTCTCAGTTTTATAAGCACACGTCCATGGGATGAATGACATAGGACTAGGAAAAGCAGCCCACAAACCCACACACACACAGCCCCGACTGCAAGCAGTGGGCTCTGTTACCAGCCGGAGAATACTCATTTACAGGCAAAGCAAAATAATCTGGCCAGGCTTTATTTTACTACTGCCTCCCGAACCAAAATCCAGAGCTGCCTTATGTATAAAGGGCCAACGCATCCCAGGACCACTGAAATCTTATTTTCCTTGCGTTCACAAGAAAACAATGATTTTGGGGGGGGTTTTCCAAAGTGCAAGAGACCTCTTTACTGTCTATCACGTAAACAACACAGTCATCCAAGCCACTTTTTAAAATTTCAAAGGGGCGAAGAGTTTAAGGGTACTTTAAAGATTTTTTTTTTAATTTATTTGAGAGAGAGAGAGAATGAGAGACAGAGAGCACAAGAGGGAAGAGGGTCAGAGGGAGAAGCAGACTCCCTGCTGAGCAGGAAGCCCGATGTGGGACTCGATCCCGGGACTCCAGGATCATGACCCGTGCCAAAGGCAGTCGCTTAACCAACTGAGCCACCCAGGCGCCCTTAAGGGTACTTTAAGGCCCATAATATCACAGACAAGGTTCTGAACATCTGTACAGAGTGATGCTTTAGGGAAAGGTTGTGACTTATGCCAGCTTTCAGGAAAAACATAACCACTGGATGCTCGACCACTTTCAGATTGCCAAAGTCAAGTATTTCAAGAATAAACAGCTCACCCCTAGGAGTTTCAAATCTAAGTGTCACAAAAAAGCAGAGGCAGAGGACCGAGTCTTCCTCTGTCCCTACCACTCATAAGGACAGGGGCCAAGATGTAGGGAACTGGCCCAGTTTGTATCGTGCTTAGTTTTCCATCTTTGGGGAAAGGAAATAGGTTTCTTAAGAATTTGTCATATAATTAGGGGCCCCTGGGTGGCTTAGCCAGTTGGGTGGCCAACTCTTGATTTCAGCTCAGGTCATGGTCTTGGGGTCCTGAGGATTGAGCCCCGCATCGGGCTCCGTGTTCAGTGGGGAATCTTCTTGAGGATCTTCCCTCTCCCTCTCTCTCTGTGCCTCCCCCCGCTTGCTCTCTCTCTAAAGAAAGTGAATGGATAAAAAAAAAAAAAAAAGAACTTGTCATAATAAGGAAAGATTCTTATTTTTCCTGAGCTGGCTACAATAAATTACTTCCAAACCTAGAAGAATAATAACTTGTTTTGTTGCCTTTGAGCCTCTGCTACACCACCCCACACCCAGAATCAGAAGCCTGTGCCAGATTTACTTCTATAAACACTTCAGGGTCCATGGCATGATTGTGACCACTTATGGGATCCTTGAGATGGGGAAGGGGAGGGGAGGGGGAAGCAGGCATTACGTGAGCCACAGGTTTTCCCCATCAACACTTTTTCCTCACCGTCTCTGCCATTTAAATTTATTTTGTGCTACCTTATGGGTGTTTTATAAAACGGCAACAATCCCAGGATATTTATCATTGTCTTTAGAAATGATGTGTATTTTCCTGCCTCTAAGCTGGTTTTCATACAGTTGGCTAATATACACAAACGTTTGCTTTCATTAGTTCCAGATTCTGGAGTTGAGAAAAATGAGGTGGTTTAGGAAATGAAGACAGAGACAGAAGGAAGAACATTTTCACCAGTGAATATCTGGAATGTCCACAGCATACTCTGTCTGACGCTTTCCAAATTCTGTCTACCTCTTTGGAACCCTTGCCTCTACAGAATGAAGATGGAAAACCCATGAGCCACATGAGGTAACTGGAACACCAAATCAGCATATGTTCAGTTCCTGGAGAGTCAACTATGAAAATAAAATAGGGGGCTGGGTCCTGGCTGGGTCCTCCAAACAAACCGCCCCAGGCCCCCCTGGAGGACCTGGGCTTACTGGCACAGAGTAGGCGGATGATGGAAGACGGGCCATAAAGATGGCCCAGAAGAGCCTAGGGTATTGCGACTGGGAAAAAAAATGACATGATGGGAGCATTACATATTGATAAGAAAGACATATAAAACACGGACTGGTCCAGGCTTGAGACGTCTCGAAATAGGCATGGGGAGCTCACAAAAAACACGGGATGGGCGGTGTGTGGATACCTGAAGCATTGGTGCGAATGTACAAGATTTCACTTTTGGCCCCACGGATGTGGTCGTTCTCCACCATGGTGAGGGTCACCGCCTTGACATACACAGCGTACTGCGTCCAGGGCTTCAGCCCGTGCAGCAGGATGCCAGGCTCGACGTCCTTGTTGGGAGGGAGGTCCACATCGACCATGTTCCAGCTGTTGGAGCCACAGGCGTCCTGCCCATCATACTCCGTGACATTTTTAAAAGGTCTAGAAAGATAGTGGATGAAGCTCAGAGGAAGGTCTGGGTCTCTGACATCAAAGCTCCCGGAAATCTTCCCTAGAGGCTTAGCATGTCACACTTTCTATAATGGGAATTCTAAGTAAAACAAACACTCCGTTGGATTTGCATAGAAGAGTAAAATGAAGCAACGGGACCCCAGGTTTTACCACATTTACAAAATGCACTGTAGAACTGCACGCTCTGCCTCGGGAAGAGCAAATTCTAATTGTTAACTGGGATTGAAAACAGCGCTCCTTAAGCATGCAGGCAAAGGCTATTTTTCTCTCTTCCAATTGTGGCATTTTTCACCATTAAGAAAAAAAACAAGCATAATCATTTCATGCAAACATCAGCTACTGATGAAGAAACAAACTTTTGGGGGAAAAGGACCTTTGCTACAGAAAAACAGCTTCTACAGTAGAGCTTCCAGAATCTCATTTGCTCGCAAACAACTGTGATTGCTTAAGTATCTTATAATACTCAAATATTTAGCTTCCAGATTGTCTCCAATACTAGCATCAACTCCTTGGTGAGATTACCAGCCGACATTGCCAATGCACTGGGGGACTCTATCAAAGAGAAGAGAGTATTTTGCGCACATGCTTGGGCGGGTAGGGATTCTCCAGCTAGCAGATGAAAGGGCCGGACAGCCCCTGGCCACTGGCTTCTGAAACAGATGTTAACCTACCCTGTCCTCATGACGGAAGACCATGAATGACTCCTATCCATAAATACACTGAACGCCTAATGATCCCGAGACCCCCTTTTTTTCACGGCTATGACCCCGGGGAAAGGGGACCAGATACTGTCATTGGTGGCTCTGGTTCCAACTCTGAGGAAGCCAGTCATCGGGGAAGGAGACCTATAGCATCACAGCGGGAGCTGGATAAGAAGGGTAACTAAGGAAGCTGGTGGAACCACCTGGACGGGGAGGCAAAGAAAGGAAGGGGGAGACCAAAGGAGTTGCTATCTGGAGGAATAAGTCATGGCTGCTGAGGCAGGTGAATATGACCGGAAGGCACAAGAAAAGCCCCCAGCAGATTTGGGGAGAAATCATGAAAGGTTTGGAACATGAAGGTCAGTCTCTCTACATTTTCCTTCCCTAGTTCATGACCTAGAGCAGAGGACCAGGTCTTGGGAAGGGCTCATGGAATAAGATGATAGATCTGTCTGGGGGTCACCTCCAGGGGAGCTGAGCATCCTGCGGGGTGTTCCTAGAGTACGGGTTACAGGGCACATCCTCTATCCCACTTCATGAATGTCAGGACTTAACCCACAGCCCCGCCCACAGGACACCACAGAAACTCACGCTTCCTTGTAGTAGACAGTGAAGCTGATGAGGTCCCTGTAGTCAGGGGGCCGGTAACGGTGCCACGTTATGATGATGCGATTCTTCCACGTGGTCGTAGAGGTGAAATGCAGGATGTCACTTTCACCTGGGGCACAAAGTATATCTGTGAGTGACAGAGATCAATGTCCATTTCCTCCACATGTCTGACAAGTCACCTGCCCTGCCCTATTTCCCTCTTCTCCAAAGATGGTTGTACACGCCAAGCCCCTTCCTGGACTTCTCCGTGGCTCTCTTATTTCTACTAAGAGCCCAGACATTTTACCACAGGGAGCTGCAACGAAGCTTGTTCCTTTGTTTTAGCGCACTTGGTTGCACTTGGACCCGAATCTGTGATTCCTAACCTGACAGGGAAGAACTGCTTGATTGAGCAAGGCACCTGGTCTTTCTGCTGATCCCTAAGACCCGGGCTCCTGAGGGTACCAGGGAAGGTGAGAATAAACCCCTAAGCTGGGCCGAATCTTCTGCGATAGGTTGGCACCTGTCCTGCAGTTGCGGATCTCCGCCTGCTGCAACCAGCAAAGAGAGGCGAATGGCCCAGGTGTGCCACAGGGGGGCACATTTCTGCCTCTAAACTTGGCATTGACCTGGAAGGACACGGGCACTCCTGGAAGGCCTCTGACTGGGGATGACACACTGACAAGAACAGTGTGACTGGCCAAGCCTCCTGTGCACTGTGGGAAGTCGCTGAGAGCTACCGCAGGGACCCTGCTCTGAGCCCTGACTTGTTCCTCTGGCCAGATTCAAACGACCCTGAGAACCAGGGCGGAATTGCTGACTGCTTCCCCCACGGAGACCCGAAGCTCCCCGACGGACTGTCTTGCCCGTTTCTATTTGCCTGAACCCCGACACATACACAGCGGGTGAAGCAGTGGCTGATTAAAGTGAACTTACTTTAACTGGCTAAAGGCAGTTAAAAGTAAGAAGTCAGTGGGGCAAAATGTGCCAGATCGGAGGTTAGAACAAAGTTGCAGTTCCTGCTAATGTGTTATTTAAGGAGAAACCATGATTTTGTTTTCAAAGGAAAATGAATGGCTTCTGTATTCACAATGTGACCGCTCAGACTGGCTGACTTGGAGGAGAAAACACCTGGAAAATGCTCAGCCACATCTGCTCTGCTATGATTCGAACAGGCAGAACGGTAGGGGCTGCAGTGGGTGGGTGAGGGAGAAGGGGCCGGTTGCCAGCATACCACGTAGCTCTGTGTCAGGCTTCTTCCCTCTAAAAGCTCTTCCAGAGCAATCTGAGTGTCTACCAGGTAAATCCATACACCAGCAAAACTAATCAGTCAAATGCTAATGGTTTCACAAGTCCTCCCCTCCCGTGTGTGTGTGTGTGTGTGTGTGTGTGTGTGTGTATGCATGTGTGCAAATCACCTCTGATCATGTATTACTCTATTTTTTTTCCCCTAGTACCCTTCCCTTATTAAAAGCCGATGGCGGAGAGAAAATTTACTTTTATAACCCTATCCAGCCAAACAGAACCACAACATTTTCAAAAGCGACTTGATATACAGGGTTAGATGAGAGACGTGCCGTTAGATCTCAGATACAAGACCTGAAAGTATATAACCATGGCAAGGTTATAATTATGTGGTTCTCAATTTAAAAAGCAATATCCGTTCAGGGAGGTAGGCTCTCTCTATCTTTTTCATGTTGGGGTGGGAGCAAGGAGGAGGCCGAGGGAGAGATAGGGAACCCATGGCCACCGCGTTGGGCTTGGAGCTCAGTCCCCTCTGCCCTGAGGCTTCCCCTGCACCGCAGGAGACTGAGCCGAGCATGCTCCCCGGCAGTGGAGAGGACCGGCTCTTCCTTGCAAAATCATCTCACTGTCTGCCTATGCCTTAAAAGACATTGAGCCCTGCATTCTGTAAGCACTTCCATAAAATACTCCCTTTGAGCAGAAGCCTATTTACAAATGCTTAGCACACTCCTAGGGATGTTAAGGAACAGTGACAAATACGAATCTGTCATGAATTGGCCCCACTACTGACTCTGAAGATACACACACGTATGGGCAAAGTGCTGGTTCAGGAGGCCCCATGCCCCCCCCCCCCCCGCCCCAGTGAGATGAGGAGGGGGCCACCCAGGGAGCCATCATTCTAGATCGGAGGAGGGGCCACAACTTTATTACAGCCATTGGGTCCACTCACAGGAGGCTCGCTCTCCATTGTTCCTGGTGTTTATGTCCCCTTTGCTCTGGCGCCCCTTAGTCCCTGTCACTTCCTCCATGCGGTAAATCTCGGAGACGCACAATTTGGGATTGAAAGCAAAGTACATCTTCCCAGCTTTGATGGTCAGGTTGCGGTGGTCCCAGTCCCACAGCTGCTGCAAGTTCTGGTTGTCGAGGACATAGAAGGAGTAGTTCCTAGAAGCACAGAAATCACCGTGAGTGCTGTTGCTCTTTCCCAGTGTCCCCTCCCACCTTCTGGCCACCCCACACCGGTCCTCTTCTGCACGTGGCTCTGGAACCCGCTGCCTTTGCCAATGAGAGATTTAGTTATTAACAGTGTGTAAGAGTAGACAGTTACTGTTAACAACAGCAACAACATGATTCAAGGACAACATATTGAAATCGGTAAGACACTAATTAATTTTAGGACCTCCATTACCAACAAATAATGCTTCTCACACCAGAGGATATTACTGGAATCATTCTGTAGAAATGCCTTTGGGTATTTCTCTCAGAGCAGAGTAGGTATAATGCACTCGAAATCAGTCCATGGGAGAAGAGATATGCTCAGCTACTCAACCGGAACGGCTTACATATTTGCTGTAGAGAGTCTGCCATTATCCTTAGGGGTAAATCCCATCCATGCCATCAGCGGTGTATGATGGGTTAGGGGAGAGAATGGGACAGGGAGACAGACTCGGTGGTGGACCAGCCCTGGGCCTGCTCCCTCCTCCAGATTCACCCCATCCTAAAAAGCCTCAACCACAGTCCCTAGAGAAAGTGGGGGAAGAGAAATAGCCTCCCAAGGACAGTCCCCTTGGGCCACCCATCCGGGCCACAGTGACCCAGTGTCCAACACTAGGTTAGTGTGCGCAAGGCTTGTTTTCGGAGTGCTGGGCCCCACTCCCAGAGTTTCTCGTTAGTAGGGCTGGGTGGGCCAAGAATCTGCATTGCTGACCTGCACGCAGGTGATGCCGGCACTGCTGGTACTGGGAAGCACACTTGGAGGAGAACTGGTCTAACAGGTGCTGGGTACCAACAAAGGGGCTGGAGGTCCAAAGCTGACCAAGTGAGATATGGGCCCTGCCCCTAAGGGGGTGGACACAGAAGCAGCTACACCTGCCAACTGAAGGAAAGACGGAAGGACAGCCAGAATCAGCAACAGCTATCTCTGGCTCCCCAGAGGGAAATCCATCCCCCGGGAGGTGGCAGTGTAGACAGCTATAGCTGAGGGGTCTGGAAAAAAAATCCAGGCTGTATACCTCTTTTTCTAGGGCCCTGGGGAAACCAGGTAGGCAGGGCCACGCTGCCCATCCAAGTCCTCCGTGATCAAAGGTCTGCTCCCCATGGACCTTGAATCCTTCCTCTCCCCTTCCTGGTCCCCAGCCTCAGGCTCTTTCTGGAGCTCACTCAAGCACTTTATACAGCACAGAGTCTAGGAATTGGAGCAGCACTCTGAGCTATTGCTAATATCCACTGAACGGTCCAACACACGAACTGCAGAAAGGAAAGGATCCAGCCCTCTTTCCAAAGCCAAGATAGCCTGGACAGAAGTCCAGAGCCCTCCTCTGCCCTGGAGGCTGTGTCCATGGGGCACCTCTCTGCACCTGATGGGGTTCCTCACATATATCATACCAGCACCTCCACCCGCCTGGTCGATCCACAGCCTGAGTCTCATTAACAAGAAAGCAAAAGTTATGGTTGTAATGCTGCCAAGCAGACTTGTGACACATGCCTGGGAATTCACAAGGGAGTTCAGAGAGGAGGATCCAGGAGTACAAATGTCATTAATGAGCCACGTAGCCATAGGCAGTTCCCTTAGTACTTTCTGTAGCCATCCATCTAGTTTACTTGTAGGACTGGGGGTGGGGGCATGAACACACACTCAGAGGACAACAAGGGGTATGAACATCTAAGCTTGTTTTATGAGTCTAAGACTCTAATGCCCGGAAGGAGTCACAGAGCTGAGATGGAATCTGCCCCATCAGCCTGAGCCCAAGCCCTCCACAAGCCCTGGGGCCTGTCCACAGACATGCAGGGGGTGGATGTGGGAACCCTGTCTGCACACAGTTCAGTGAGCCAAGTGAGTCCAAAGGCAGCACCTCTGAAACCAAGCTAGCCTCCTCACTGACCCACCTTGAGATCCCTTGACACATTCAAGGCCACTGAAGCAGGTTTGCAATAACCTGCAAGTTGATAATATATTCCTCTCAGGAACAGCTCACTCCCTGACACATATATCCACTGGAAAGGGAACCTAAGAGATTGTCCACATGAATCTAGACTCGGGATATGCAACGCAAGGCCATGTATACAGGTGGGAAGCGCTGGGATCTGGCAAGGTGAGACCTGCCATAGCTTGGGGACAGTCGCCACCCACATCTCCTCTTTCCCCCAGTGCCAGGCTGCAGCTGATGCTGGTTGACCTGAGTCTTCAGACAACTGAAGGCGGGGTTTGCAGCTGGAAACAGATGCATCCCATGTAGGCCCATTCTTGTCCATGAATACTTTCAGCTCTGAAGGACTCTATAGTGCCCGTACAAAGCCCAATGGGTCTGGCTGCTCCCAGGTTCCTCAGCTGGCCCCCAAGGGACAGAACCTCCTTGTTGGTGCAGAAACCTCTAGGCTGGAAGTAAAGGCCCATTAACCCGGTCAAACCTCTGTCTCAACTCAGGATGAGGCTTCTTTTTAGTAAACTAATTTTGCTGGCAGGGAACAGAAACCACACTGAAAATACCTTCTGAACAAAACATGATTCTCCCCATGGGAGGAAGCATGAATTATAAATCAGGAATTTGACAAATGAATGGCAGGCCCACTGAAATTCTGTGTGTGTGATTAATCACTTTGAAAAGGAAGATTATCCTTTTACAGTAAACACAAACATTTTTTACAACACTGAGAAGGCCTGGAGCCAGGATACCAATATCAATAAAACCCAGGCGTTATGGAGCCTCTGTGAGCGACAGAAAAATAAAAATAAAACCCTCTTCAGAATAATAACCAAGCCATTCATGAGCTGCCTGTCAATATTGCTCTTGCTTTTCCAACCCCAGGTTGGGGCCTGGCTCCCCCCAAATTCCCCTTCCATGATCAGGTGACAATTAAGAGACGGTAAAAGGCAGAGACCTGTCTGCATGTTTTACACACACACACACACACACACACACACACACCTTTTCATTGTTTCCTAAAGGAAATGACTATATAAGTCAATTACTCAGTAAACGTCATTTCCTAATTATTCCTAAACTTACTGCCTTTACATTCAAAGAATATTTTAAAAAATTAAGTTTTTATTTTTTCTGTAGCTTACACAGATGCCTGGGTTTTACAGATATCGGTATCCTGACTCCCAGCCTTCTTAGTGTGGCAAAATATGTTTGTTTCTGTACTTGGGTGGGCCCCATCTGACAAAATGTAGACCAACTGAGGTGGGTTAGAAGCAGTCGGTCATGTCCCTGAGGATATCTGTACATTATCTGTATTGGTATTCTGAATGCCTAGTGCACACTATACACAGAGGTGTTTAACTGATGGCTCCAGGCTTGGGGTATCTTACCTCTGAATTATCAAGAACCACCCGCCTCCCCACCTGCTCTGATGAAGGGCAGGAAGGATGTGAAAGCAGAGGGAAGCGAAAGTGCTGGGGATTTGCACAGTGCACAGAAGTCAACCCTGGGGCTAGGGTTTGGAGCATCGCATTTGAGAATCCAAAGATCAGGGTCTGAGCAACATCTCCACCACTTACTAAAGCTACAACACTTGGCAAAGTACTTATTTGGCTTCTCCCAGGGTGGGGGCAATGGGTGTGGAGGCCTGGGAGTCCAGATGATGGGGGTAGGAAGGGATACTCCCCCCCACTTTCAGCCCTTACTGACAAACTGGGGGGAAAAAATCTGCAAATATACAACTGATTATTCCCTTTTGCTTCTCAGAGGAGAAAGCATGGACTCTTTCCGGCTGTCTCTAGGGGGCATCAGAACCCAGCACACAGGGACTGCCTCCAGCACCCTAGCAATCTGCAACAGACACAGAATTTGGCTTTTTCCGCAGATGCTCACACCATATCCAATCTCCTCCAAATCCAGTATTTACACCAACCTTGGGGGTTCAGCAAGGGCGGGGATTTATATTCAAGTGGCACTGGGTACCAAACAGAATCTCAGAAAATGTTTCTTCTTTAAGGGTTTTCTAAATAGCTTAGTTGAGGTATAATTTACCTACCAAAAACTGTACCCATCCTAAGTAGACAGCGCTATGAGCTTCAGTAAATATATGCAGCTGTTCCACCAGCACCATTATGCAGTTTCTGAACATTTCCATGATGTCAAAGTTCTCTCCCTGCCAATGGTGGTCAATCTCTGCTCCTATTCCCAGCCCTCGCCAATCGGCTTTCCATCTCTATGGTTTTGCTTTTGCTAGAAACTAATGGAATCATATAATGTGCAGCCTTTTGTGTCTGGCTTTTTTTCACTTAGCTTAACGTTTCTGAGGTTCACTCATGTCGTTATATTATCGTCAAATGGTATTCCATTGTACTACATTTCATTTATCCATTCATCTGCTGATGGATATCTGGATTGTTTCCAGTGGGGTTTTTTTTGGGGGGGGGTAGGGGGCTCTAGTGAATAATACTGTTACGAACATTCACATTCAAGTCTTGTGTGGGCATGTTTTCATTTCTTTTGGGAAGATATTGGGTAGAGCCTGGAATTGCTGAGTCACATGGTTGAGTCTTTATTTTTAAAAGTCCCAGGGAAGTATTAACACCAGCCCTGTTGCAACCTAATCTGAGTTGCAGGAACGTAGAATGAAGCACCAAGTGTTGCAAAGTCAAGTGGTGGGGTCACGAGTATAGCGATGCCTAAATGTACCCAAGAATTTCAAGTCTTAGAACCCTACTACCTCCATCTGCTTCTAGGCTTTTGGGGCAACGATCCTTGGTGGCACCAAAGAATCCAAAATTTTCCCTCTTTGTCTGATGCCATAAGAAAATAATGTTTGTCCACCTCAAGGAACTGTCCAGATAACAGAAATATTTTGTTTTCTATTCAAGGGTTTAAAGATCAGTCATTTTATAGAAATCTTATACATGTGTATTACAAAATCCACTTCCTTCTTAAACAGCAGAAAAACCTTGATTTTTCTTAATGTCTAAGGTTATTACTCTAGAAGCACATCACGTACACAGGCTGCGTGACATCCTCAAGGAAACCGGGATGTCTGAGTTCTTACGGACAAGCTGATGACTGCCTGATGCCGTCCGGGCCTTGTTCTCCAGTCACCAACTGCCCTGCCGTCTGTTTGGGTGTGATTCTGCCTACGTCTTTCACTGCTCTGGAAATCCGATGACAAAACTGGCTCACTCTGGAGATAGACTAGAGCTCTACTCCAGCTATAATGCTTGAATTTCGTGTTCTGGATGTGACTCAGTGGTCTGGGCTGCTCAGGGGACTTGGAGGGAGGTCTCAGTTCCAGTTTGGAAAGCCAAGGTGGTCAGATACAGAGGATCCCGGCACTATGGATTCATCTGTTCTCCATCAAAACAAAATGCTATAAAACTCCCATCCTATTGAACCAAATGGAGGCACTTATTTATGTTCTCACTTGGCTACAGAAGTTCAAGAAAAATAGTACTTAAAGGCAATAGTGTGACACTTAAATATTTAGGAAAAAAGGCAAAGCACTTTAGGGATTCACATATGAGAAGAAGAAATAACAGGGCATAGCAGTGGTATCCAATCTTGGCTACACACCGAAATTACTTTGAATTTTTGAGAAAAATCATTGATGCCTGGATCCCACCCCCAAACATTCTGACTGAATTGGGAGTGCATCTTGGGTTACTGGGATTTTTTTTTTTTTTACCTGGCCCCACCCAAGATGGTTCTAACATCAAAGTCTAGGAACCACTGGGATAAAAGTTATCTTGGCTTAAACCAAAGACACATAGAAATGAAACTCCTGGGCGCCTGGGTGGCTCAGATGGTTAAGCATCTGCCTTTGGCTCAGGTCATGATCCCAGGGTCCTGGGATCGAGTCCCGCATCAGGCTCCCTGCTCCTTGGGAGTCTGCTTCTCTCTCTGCCTCTCTCTGTCTCTCATGAATAAATAAATAAAATCTTAAAAAAAAAATGAAACTCCTGCAGCTCAAAAGCCTTGAATACATTCCATTGCCTACCTAAATTATAACCTCCACACCCGGGTGCATAACACCTTACGTAATTCTAATACCACCTACCTCTCCAGCATTATTTGCCAAACAGGTCCCAGGATGCCCCAACTCGCTGCCTTTGTTCTTACTGCCCTATCCTGAACTGCCTTCTTCACCCTCTGCTTTCTGAGTGTTTCTGGAAACCCTTCAAGGCCCATCTCAAATGCCACCTCTTCTTGAAAGCCTGTGGGATCTTCTTAATCAGATTCTCTGCCTCTTTTTCATGCCCATGGCATGTTCCTTTTCTTCTCCTCATAGCTCCTTGCAAATTCTGCTTTGCACTATTGTTAGCATTTATGGTTTTTTTTTATTAAAGATTTTTATTTATTTATTTGAAAGAGGGAGAGAATGAGAGAGAGCACATGAGAGGGGGAAGGGTCAGAGGGAGAAGCAGACTCCCCGCCGAGCAGGGAGCCCGATGTGGGACTCGATCCCGGGACTCCAGGATCATGACCTGAGCCGAAGGCAGTCACTTAACGACTGAGCCACCCAGGCGCCCTGTTAGCATTTATGTTTATCATATTCCTTTCTTCTCTGCCTCCCTCTGACTCTTCCCTCCTTGCAGGAGTGAGGAGAACTGGTCAAGGGCTAGAACTTAGTCTATTTCCTAAGTCGGAGAATGCACAATAAAGAACTGAACTGTTGCTACTTGTCACCCCTAATACAAAGAGCTGTGGGGGCATTCATCACAAGTGAGGATGGCCTATACCTTTTTTGATCCTGGGTGAGAAAGGCTGGTGAGAGAACCCAACTCCCACCAAGACAGGCAAGATTCTCAAGCACCCCAGCTAAAGACAGAGCCTCCAAGAAGCAGCATGTAGGAAGGAAAGGCTGGAAGGCCAGCATCCTCAGAGCTACAAGGGCCACTGATCAGCAGCAGGGTGTGAAAACCTAAGGGCCATTTGCCCTTCCTTTTCATTTAAAATGTTAAGGGCAGAGCAGAGGCCTGAAGCGTACTTGAGCTTGGAGGAGTCCCAAACACCTGAGCAATGGCAGGCATCCTTAAAGAGCCCCCACTGGGACATCAGGTTTTACACAAGTTTCGGATAATGAGAAATGCGCTTTAAATATCCGTGCAAATGAAAATCAGTCTTAAGTTCTCAGTTCCATATAAGGGCATAATACTTTCAGTTAACACATGACTAAGAGGTAATCCCAGCGTGTAATAATTCTTAACCAAAATTAAATTCTTGGGGTGCCTGGGTGGCTCAGTCTAAGCACTGGATTCTTGGTTTCAGCTCAGGTCATGATCTCAGGGTTGCAAGATCGAGCCCCAATTCAGGATCTGTGCTCAGTGTGGAGTCTGCTGGAGATTCTCTCCCTTTTTCTCTCCCTCCTCCTCTGCTCCTCCCCTGCCCTCTCTTTCTCTCGAATGAATGAATGAATGAATGAATTTTAAAAATCTTTAAAAAATTAAATTCTCCTTCCAGTTTTTCCCTCTATGTCTATCACTTGTTCAACCTGGAGAAAGAAAATGTGTATCATTAAGCAGCAGGAAAAGTGGCAGATCCCAATCTGCCAAAAAAAAAAAAAAAAAAAAAAAAAGGGATTACCAAAAAAAGAAAAAAAAAAAAAAAAAAAAAAAAAAGTGCTTACCAACACAAGGGATTCCAGAAACACAAACCTACCTGGAGAGAAAAAGAAAAAACTGTGCTAAAATTCACTTTAAAATTTAATACAAAAAATGAGAACCACCACCTCAAAATGGTAGAGCCTCAGCTTGCCAAGTTAAGTGACTTATGACACTCTGGGGCTGGGCACGGTGGCAGCCTCGTTGGATTTGCAAGGAGAAAGAAGTTTCTTCTCCTAGAGAATCAGTGTTCTCAGTGGGGAGGACAGTGTGCTTTTCAAGGATGGAATGAGGAGCTGCCCTCTCTCTTTAGCTGTATCAGATGATGGAATTTTAAGAATTTAAGACTGACCAAGAGTTAGTCTGAGAAAAGCAGGGAGGCTGTAAAGAAACCCTTATGGGGGTAACTTTATCCAGTCGGGGCAGATAAATCAGCAAGGACAACCTTTCCCATGACCTTGCCACCTCTTTCTTTCCTACATTATTTCCCCACATTCTCTTTGGAAGGAATTTGCTCGTTAATTGATGTCTCCTTTTATTTCGAAGCTGTATTTAAAGAGAGTATGAAGAGAAAGGTATATATGCAGAGGTACACACAGGCCAACTGCTGGAGAGAAACTATAGCAGTAAGCACCAGCTCTTATCTATCCTGTGGTGAAAAGCCTCTGGCGAGTTTAAAACCCCTATCACAAAGCCTATCTCTGCAGAAGGCAAAAATTCTACCAGTAGTGTAAATCCTACTGGCTCATCAATGAAACAATTTTGTCAATTAGGATTCCTTTATAAAAAATGAACTATCCATACTTCTCTAAATCTCTTATGTTCCAGTATACACTTTACCCCGATAATGTTGGGGTTTGGGCGTGGACACTCCAAACAGTCACCAATTCACACAGAATTGTTGACATCCTCCAAACTTAACTACTAATAGTCTACTGTTGTCGACCAGAAGTCTTATGATAACATAAACAGTTGATTAACACATATTTTGTATGTTATATGTGTGATATACTGCATTCTTACAATGAAGTCAGCTGGAGAAAATATTATTTAAAAAATCATAAGGAAAATACATTTACAGTCCTATACTGTATTTATCCAAACCAAACCAAACCAAACAAAACAAAACTGTGGGGTGCCTGGGTGGCTCAGTTGGTTAAGCGACTGCCTTCGGCTCAGGTCATGCTCCTGGAGTCCGGGGATCGAGTCCCGCATCAGGCTCCCTGCTCAGCGGGGAGTCTGCTTCTTCCTCTGACCCTCCCCCCTCTCATGCTCTATCTCATTCTGTCTCTCAAATAAAAAAACAAAACAAAACAAAATTGTGTCCAAGTGGACCCACACAATTCAAACCATGTTGTTCAAGGGTCAACTGTTTTTCTTCTTTTCTTGTTTTTTTTTTTTAAGATTTTATTTATTTACTTATTTGAGAGAGAAGGGGGGCGGTGGGGAGGAGCAGAGGGAGGGACAAGCCGACTCTGCATTGAGCACGGAGCCTGACGTGGGGCTCAATCCTATGACCCTGAGATCATGACCTGAGCTGAAATCAAGAGTTAGACACTCAACCGACTGAGCCACCCACGTGCCCCCGTATTTTAAAAGATGGGATGGTTTTACATAGTATATAGAATCCTGGGGATAGGAGTCATGTCACTGATGATTTCACAAAGGGCTAAGCACCTGAGACCCATTCCTGTTGCTCTTGGCACAGAGGGTCCCCACCAGCACCCCAGTCTGCTGTTTCCATGGTCACGGTCGGACACGCAGCCCTTGACTGACAGGTCACAACACAGTTTTCCAGAGCAGCACTATCCCAAGGATGGAGAATCATGGCCACACGGGACTCTGCCCGAGGGGGTGGGCCATCACGCAGGTGGCGCCAGGCCTACCTTTGCTTCCTCCTTTCTTTGTTGTAACAAGAAAGAGTCTTTGCCTCAGTGACATGAAGTTTTAAAAGCACGCTACTTATTTTGTAATAGGAGAATGTCAGCCCACGAAATCTGGAGCACTTACCCTTCTAGCTGCTCCTCTCCTAAGATCTGGCGAAGGTTTTTTAGGAAGGACAAGGAGACCAAGGCATGGGAATGGCGGATCTTCACGTAGCCTGTCACCACCTCGATGAGCCCCATGAAGTTCTCCAGTTCTGAGGCAATGTTATCTGCGTGAGGAGGGGGCTGTGTTAGTGAGTGTCCGCGTAATGTGAGGATGACTTGGCTTCTCGCAAACACGTCTGGAGATCGATTCCATGGCGGGTCTTGGTGCAGGACCTGCCATCCCTGTCAAAAATGTACTACCCTGGGCTTGACTTTCAACAACCTCTCCTGGGGCAGGGCGCCTCAGGGGCTGGGGAAGGAGACTTTCTAGAAGGCTGGGTACTGTAGCTCCCAGGCTGATTAACCGAATGTAAAATCATAAATACCAGACTGCCAATTAGCTAAGGCTAACAAATCTAGGGAATGTCTTTTAATATGCTCTGTCAACGGACAGCACTGCATCCACGGTACAAGGGCATGACTAAATAAACACCATTTTCTCGGTCTCATTAGGAACTGCCTTTGCTGCAGTTCCAGTTCCTAAGATACAGGGATCTATATTTAAAGAGTACGTCTTACGAAGACTGGGAGAAAACACACCAAAATGTTAACACCCCAGGTTATCTGCTCTGCTGGTGATTTTTCAAAATTCGTTTCCGTGCTTCTAAGTTTTCTACAATGCACAGGTATGATTTTCGTAACGAGAGGACAGTTGGAAAAATAGTTGCTACTACTATGTAAGTGAACACAACGTAATATACACACACTGTCTTTCTAATCATCCTGTTTAGCCTGTCTTTTCTTCATAGTAAAAAAGAACATAAACTTCGGTTCAACTTATGCCAAAATTACAATAAATACTATAATGAATTGGGTATGGTCCAACTATTGGGATTTTATTGCATATGATTTGTTGAAAGCTTATTTAATGAGAGGTTCTATTTTGCTTTGAATTGATAAAAATAAAAGAATGAGGATGCTGTCTTGGAGGGCTGGGGACTATGCTTACTATAGAGTTTAATGGTTTTCTAGGAGAAATTCAAGTTATAAACACCAGAAGTTGCCAGTGGTTGATATTTCAAGGAAAAGATCCTGAACTTTAAATGCGGGCAGGATGGATGCCTGTTAGTCGAGGCTGAGTATGTCCTTTTCAATGAGATGTCTTATCACCCTACATCCAGCTGGTTTCTCCCACTGGTCTTAAACAAGAAGGCACATTTCATCACCACGCATGAATATGTACCGATTCCTTCTCAAATTCTACTTCTCCATGGATTTAATTCATGGATTAAATGCTTATCTTCAGGATATGAAAATTTTAAGAAAAAGAAGGGTTAGGTACTTAAAAGATACGTTCTAGGGGATGAGGGCATCTTTTCAAAAATTAAGAAATCTAGTAAGAGCAAAAGGAATAAAACTTCATTATTTATTCTTTTTTTTTTTTTTTTTTTTTTAAGTAAGCTCCATGCCCAGCATGGAGCTGAATGCCAGGCTCAAACTCATGAACCTGAGATCAAGACCTGAGCTGAGATCGAGAGTCAGACGCTTAACCCGCTGAGCCACCCAGGTGCCCCAGGAATAAAACTGTAGAAGCACCATGGGGGTAAGAGAATTCTAGCTGTATGAAAGCAAAGTTATCGGGGCACCTGGGTGCCTTCGGCTCAGGTCATGATCCCAGGGTCCTGGGATCGAGCCCCGCATCGGGCTCCCCGCTCGGCGGGAAGCCTGCTTCTCCCTCTCCCACACCCCAGCTTGTGTTCCTGCTCTCGCTAACTCTCCCTCTCTGTCAAAGAAATAAATAAAATCTTAAAAAAGAAAGAAAAGCAAAGTTATCTCTGTGGTGGAGGGGCGAAAGCGGTTCTGGAAAATGAGGAGTACCTAAAGATCCAAAAGGACTGAACACAAACATGTTTCTGCCATCTCTAAACCATAAGAGCATGGATCACTCACCAAACAAACAGTATTAAGGAAAAGTAAATCCACAGAATAAATAAATTAGTCATCGCCCCCGCCCCCCCCCCACTGCCAACCTGCAAAAATTTCTCCACAAAAGGATTTAGGGGGAAAAAATCCTTTCAACCTCAAGGTCTTCTTACTACTTTTATTCTAGGTTATGAAACTATCATAGGTACCTTGACCGAGTGGTCCCAGTGGTGGAGAATTTAAGGCTAGAAGCCATTGTCAGTTAAAGCTCAGAAGTGAAAATATCACAGAATAAGTCCATGAGTAATGCTTTTGCACACACGCAATTACCAGGAACACCATTTACTACAAATGATGCTGATCCTACTGGGGTGAGGATCGAAGTTTTAAATACGTGATGACACACACTAGGTTTTTTTGCTTTCCAAAGAAAATTTGGAGATTAACCACTCTTTGGACTTAATAAAGTATTGAAAGGGTATCATTAAACTGTTCCCTTTGCACAGTCTCCTCGGTACCTCCCGAGTAACCAAAACTCTTTGGACTTGAAGCCCTGTGGCCCTGGCTCCAGCTGGAGGCTGCTGAGTCACACCTTTGATCCACCAGCGTCTTCTGGGGCTTGTGTGTGTTGGGACGTGCATCTCCTGCGTAAGACAGGACTAACAGAAACATGAGTGATGACCCAGGGCGTGAATAAACACCGAGCCAATGGCTGCAAAATAGACTGCCTTTCAATCTGGGGTGTGTGTGTGTGTGTGTGTGTGTGTGTGTGCGCGCGCGCGCGTGTGTGTGTGTTTTTCTTTAATCTTTGAGGGAAACTCAAAAAAGAGGTGTTGGGCATGAAGCTTATGCCCCATGTTGTTTTTCTAGGCCCAGGCTTCAGTTGTGAGTCATGGATGGGAAGGAAAAGCGTCAACAAAAGAAAACCAAGAGATCTAGCCCTCTCTTCCAGGAGGACGGAATACTTACTGCCTCGGCGGATATTAATGAGCAAATTGCCCTTGAAGATGGTGCATCCTTGGAGCATTTGAGCAGAGGTAACAGAATCAATGGTCTTTGTTTTCTTTTCTTCCTCACAGACCTTGGGGCAAGGACCTTCACAAGGGATGCAGTACATGCTGTTGAAGATAAAGAATCAACCAAAAACAAAAAGAACGGAGTCTGGCTCCTTGCAAAAAAAAAAAAAAAAAAAGAAGAAAGAAAAAAAAAAGTCACGAAGACACGCTTTTATTCTAAGTTGTTTTTGCAGTACACATTACCAAAAGCAATTGTTTTGAAGCACTCGAGTGGGCACACCATATCTCATCCCGAAGCCACCCAGGATCAGCCATTCGAATTGCAACCAAAAGAAGAAAGTGCCTACAAAGGAAAAGCGTGCCTCTTGTTTCCAGACAAAATATGTGATGCATCCTTGAGGCATGTGTGTATCTCAGAGGCTATCGGCTGGGGAGCCAGCTGGTTCCACGTGGGAGAAACAGCCTTGAAGAAAGGACACAGTGGTGGCTCCCGAGGAAAATGGGGCTGCTCTCTAGTGTTGTGGCCCTTGCCTGCCACACACTGGGGGGGGGGGGGGGGGGCAGCTGGGAGACTGGACAGGAACAGCAAAGGGACAGCGGGGTCTCTGCCACTAACAGGAGTCTTGCTCTCACTGCCCGCATCCCAGCAAAACCCAGCAAGGAATTCCAAAGTGCATGTGGAATAACACAGATCCATAATTTTCTCGCTAACGTACAACTGAAATTATTTGACAGTGTTTTGCAGAAACTTGTAAATTGATTGAAATGTTGTTTTCGTTGCATATGTGCTGAAAGCAAGGAACTTCCATGACTTTGTAATGAACTCCTGTTTCAAATGCTATATCCCAAACGAGCTGCAGGACCACCAGGAATCAGGGATCAGTGAGACTGGCACTTCTCCTGCTTACATACCATTATTAATTTAGGAAGTCGTGGACAAAACGCTAATCTGGCTGCTGGACCACAGACCAAGGATCAAAGTTGGGTTGATTTCCAAACAAATGACACCGCCTGTGTCATGTGTGTGTGTTATAAACAGGATGGTGAATTGGGGAGCCAGCTGTATTGACATTATTGTTCTTGAATGATCTTTTAAACTTCATTAAGGTAAGTAAAAAACATTCAAGTAAACAGTGTAAGTGATAGCTTACGTGAAAGTTTGTTTTTTTAATGAAACCTTACTGCCTATCTAAGGCAAAGATGCAGGGATTTGTTTTGTTTACAAACTTACAGGTAGACAGAATTTCCCTGCTATTTTCCTATTTCGTGTGGGGAGAATGACAGGGAAGGTTTCCCAAGGAACTGGGCCAACCACAGAAGGGAAGATTTCTCTTTCCTGTAACATCATACTCAACCTTCTTATTTCCACTATGGGTAATAGCTTCTCTTCAGCACTTTTTGGTTTTGTTTTTTATTCTAATTTATTTACACACCATTTAATGCCTCCACCCTCCTTTAAAAAACTTTTTATCCTGAAATACAGATTCACAGAAAGTTACAAAGAGTACTTTTCCCCTGTACCCTTCCCCTAGCTTCCCCTAATGGTGACATCTTATATAACTATAATGGAATATCAAACCCAGGAAATTAACACTGGTACAATATATGCGTAATTCTGTGTCACCTTATATCTCTTATGTGATCCTCATGCAGTCAAGATACAGAAGTACTTTAGGAAGATCTCCTGTAGAGCCACCCCCAATCCTCATATCCCTAACTGTGTCCTGGCAATCACTAATCTATATTCCATCACTGCAATTTTGTCATTTTGAGACTGTTACATAAATGGAGTTCCATAGTATGTGACGTTTTGAGGTCGACTTTTTTGTTTTGTTTTGTTTTCCCCCACACAGCATAATGTCCTTGAGCTCTATCGCCAGCTGTTGTGTATTTCAACAGTCTGCTCTTTTTTATGGCTGAATAATAGTCCACAGTATGGATGTACCACAGTCTGTTTAACCATTTACCTACTGTAGAACATCTGAGTTGTTTTTTTGGCTATTACAAATGGAGCTGCTGTGAACAACTGTGTATGTGTTGTTACGTGGACATATATTTTCATTTCTCTGGGAGGAGTGTCCACGAGTATGACTTCTAGGTCGTAATGTTAAGTGTATGTTTAGCTTTCCCTGACGTTTTATTCAAATAGCAATTTCTGAACCAAACACCTTTACTAAAATGTCTAGGAATCATCTAGCACTTTAAAAAAATGTTTTTCTAAGGAAGTGCTCTGATTACATCTTTATAGATTAAGCTTCCTTGAATCCGTTCGGGTACAGAGAGGGTATAAACAGTATTAATAAATATTTTAAACTCAGGGCCAAATAGGTCTTAAAGGTTGAGAGTGGTATTTATTCTTTCTTGACGGTGTTTTATTTTAAAATAGAAGAGGTATATCTGTAGCTTTGAACAGACTGTGAGAACCGGTAGGGAAAAAAACAGCTCAGTTCTTTGAAAATGCAGTGAAGTGGGAGAAACAACACCGCTGAAATGCATAGCACTCCTCTCCCATTGGTCCACTACATCACAGGACAATGTATCCCCAGGACAAAGATGGTACTACCCCCGGTTCATGCACCAGCTGTCCCATCTCTCCTCCCACCCCCAGGAGAAACCATGGCTGAGCCTCATCTGGGTTCTAGGCTTGGCCCAGGGTACTGCGAAAGCCCTCCTAAGTCCAAAGGCTACCAAGAAACTGTGAGTAAAATGTGGTAGACTTATTCTGGGTGGAATATGTATACTTTACAGTTCACTGGGAGTCCTTGGCATACTTATCTTTTAAAAAGTATTCGGGATAATTTTTATTATTATAATAGTAAAGACATTATAACAGGTGGAAAGTTGTTCTGTATCTAATATTATGAAAGAATGTGAGTTTTAACTTTGGTTTGAAGATGAAGGAAGCATTTGGCCCACTGCCACTGAACTGTTCTTTCCTAAGAGTTCTCTGCTCTACCTAGAGGAGGGACGAACTACCCCAAACCTCTGGTCTTTTGCTTCCAGGGCTATAGTTCTTTATTTTATAGCAATGCCACTATTGCTTTCTCAAAAACATAAACCAACAAAAAATTTACAGAAGCCTAGCCGGCATACACCAGAGGGATGCTTTTTGCTGTAGAGAATCTCTTTGCTTCCCAAGTGAAGTCTCAGTGTTCAGGAAAGAAAATGAGAGACAGAGGAAACTGAGAGAAGGAGGTATGGAGGAAGAGAGAGAGAGGAGCAGGTGCTGATGGAAAACACAGGTTACTTTAAGCTCCTGGTTACGCTTCGTGTCAGCTAGCGAGGGCACAGGATGGATGTGTGCTAACAGACTTTTGGGTCTGCTGGCTGTGTCAAGGACGCTGTCCGCGGCTCGTCTTGTCTTCTGTCCTGCACTCCCCAAGACTTCACAGAGCTGGTGCCGAGTGGCACCAGGGATGGGACAACCTAAATGTACAGTCCTCCCAGGTCTACCCCACACCTGCTTGACAGGCAGCCTGGGAAGTGCAGGGAGGGGAGACTGTGACCTCCAGGTACCTAGGCCAGCAAGCCGGGCACTTAATTCCAAATGGCCAGGCAGTACGCTTCCAAAACACAACATAAAACAAACTGATTTTTTTTTTTGCGGGGGGCAGTTGTTCTTCTGTAGAATCTCATATAAAATGTCAGTTATGCCAACCCTCTGGAGTGGACCCATGGCCCTTAACCTCCCCGGGCCGTCCAGACGGAATGAGGGCAGCGCCAACGTCGCCATTCCTTGGGGGGCCGGGGTGGTAGTGCTGCACGACTGACCTCTGACTGCCGTTCCGGATGAACCCCGAGGGGCACTCCTGCATGCACTCGCCGTCGTGGATCACAAACCCCTCGGAGTCGCTGCTCTCGGCGCTGGGTATGTTGGCGCAGAAGTCGCGGTCCACGCAACGCCAGCCCTCGAAGCGGTAGGTGTTGGGCGGGCAGGTGGGCACGCAGACGCCGGCGTAGTAGTAATGCCTGCACGCCACGCAGGCCGTGTCGTTGTCGGGCGCACTGCAGCTGCCCAGACACTCGGGGTGACAGCACTCGTTGTTCTCGGTGCACGCCCGCTTCCCGCACGCGCTCGGGCACACTGTGGGGGCGGAGGGGACAGCGGGTGAGACTGCGGTGGTGGTGGGGGGGGGGGCGGGGGTTGGACGGGCTCCTCCGGGCCCGGCCTGCTTTGTCCGGGGTCACCGGCCACCCCAGACCAGATCGCCCCAGGGACAGACAACCGCCCCCCCACGAAATCCCCAGACGGAGCATCACGGGAATCTGCAGCCCACCGCAGGCTCGCAAGGGCAGTACTACAGACCACAGTCACAGTTTCATGAAGGCGGGGAGAAAATACTCTGCGTTTCCAGTCCAGCCTCTCCTATTTACTCCCTGTGTGCTCCCGATGACTCATTAGCTTCTCTGACCTTGACCCTCTCTTTTCACATCTATAAAATGGGGGTAGCAATATCCACACTAGCGGTTTGCCTGAGGCCAACATGATAATGCAGTAGCCCTATGGGAACAATACGGTGTATTATTCCTTTTAAAAGCATTATGTGCTGTTCCTTCTGCATTTTGAATGTGTTCCTTGAAATACCCTGAAAAGCCTTAGTGTGCAGACATGATTATTTTAAAAATTATCTTATCATATATGTTATTACAAGTATTTTAAAATCATTCAAAAAGCCGTTTATTTTAAAAATGATGAAACTGGAATATAGTAAAGATGATACTTTTCGGGTTTACAAAAGGGCTTTAGAAAAAGCTTGTGTCTGCTTGTAGACCAAAGGTCTTACTCCAAAAAATGATGGTATTAACTTATTCACAGAACCTAACCTATTATATAACCAACAAGTCCCTGCATCTGATTGTCATTCTCAAATACAAAAAACAAAAAAACAAAGGGTGGTGGGCAGTGTCTCTGAGCCCAGAGGACTCATAGCATATTAGAAACCATCTCCTTTGAGCCACTCTGCTAAACTTAAGTGAAAGAAGTATCTAAAAAGCAGAGCTCCACAATTCATGTCCCAAGTAGATGAGCTGGCATTTTATTTCCATAACAACGAAGTAATGATCACACTCTGTGGGGCTGTTAGCCTCACTAGCAAATAAAGTATAAATCAACAAAACACAAAATCTGGTTTGCATTATATGTTTCCTACTTTTTCTGAAACAACACAAATTATTTAAATATATTATTGACTCTGACATACATTATTTAGTGAAAATCCTATTATTGTTTTTCCTTATAAACAAAATGTGATCAAAAAAACATCAGAGATCACAGATAAGAAATGATAATATATAGGACGTCTAGTCCATCTGCCCCAAATACCTCCTTTATCAATACCTTCATGTGGATCCCCCCAGGTCCTTTTCTATGCATGTGCATATACATATAAATATCTACAAAAAAGGAACAAGCCATCCTGAAACCATTTTTGGCATAATATACTACGAATTCCAAAATCACTTAACAGCTGCATTGCATCTCACAGTATAGTGTAAGTTATAACCTGTCTCCTACTATGAGACATTTTTACTCCTAACATTTTATTATTACAATGAACACTGCAATCTTCATGAGAATCCTTAATTATTTCCTGAGGATCAATTTCCAGGATTGACCTCGCCAGATCAAACTATCCTCTGGAAAGTTTTTACCAATTTACACCCCACAAACTGCATCCAAGAGTTCCTACTTTACTGCAAAAAGGTGAATTTCAGAACTTGGACATTCAAATGAACACTGTCACCTCTGAAGAAAACAGATAAATTCTCATGATACTGTCAAGCTTCTTAAAATAATTTTGCAAGTTTCACCTTTGAAATTATCCTTCGGCAGAGACCATAGGTTGCCTTCCATTATTTATTCTTTTTATCTATTTTGGTAATAGAACCTTGATTTTTAATTGGGCATTTGGCCACCGGGCTAGATATTATATCTCTTAGCCTCTCTTGTAGCTAGAAGTGACATATGTCCCAGCCAGTGAGATATAAGAAAACTTTTTTGGCTGGTACTTACTGGAAGATTCCTTAAAACAGAGTGAACATGCCCTTCCTCCTTGCCGGCTGGAATGCAGGAGCAATGCATCAAGCTCAAGCAGTCATCTTGGACATGAGGTAGCCCACTAAGAAGGTGGAGTAAGATAAAAGGATCTTGGTCCCCCAAAAGGCTAACCCTGTACTGCTTACCTCTAGACTTGGCTATATGAGAGAGAAATAAACTTTTATCTTATTTATGCACCTGCTATTCGTTAGACCCAACTGGAAAAATCCTGAGACACACCTTCAGAGCTACTTATAAGCAAAGAAGAAAACCATTCCTGTTGGTTTATATCACTTTTGTTTACCGGAATTGCCTCAATGACTTCTGGCTATTTCCAAAAATTAAGCTACCCAAAATATAACAAGGAGTAAATATCTCTAAGCACACCAAAGAAGTATGTTATAGATAGGAGTTGCAAAAATGTGGTGATACATATATTGTCCACCAAGGTGATCATCTTGAGGAGGGTAACGCTAATTTGAATTTACAAGCCTAGTGTTATTTGTAGTAAACATACATAGACACACACACACACACACACACACACACACACACACGAGTGCGTGCGCTTTCTCTACCATCAGATCTCATACGTGAAGACATCTAATATTATCAAATAGATTCAATGACTATTTAATTTCAAATATACCCATTATGGAGGTTAACTTCAAGGCTCAAGATCTAAAGAAACTAATAAATTGTGTATCTTTTAGTTCAGGTTTTTAAAGTAGTAACGGGAACATAAGTCCATTTACCCTTTCGTTGTCGATGCATTTCGCAAGTGTTTATTTAGCAACATGCCACACCTGTGTGCTAGACCCTGCCCTCAAGGAATGGGCAATATGCCAGATAAGTACAGGCTTGAGTGGAGGTTCATGGCATGCCCTGGGCATCAGGGACGGTTTGGAAGAGATGCTGAGGCTGGAGCTGAAAGATGAAAGACGAGAGGGATAAGAATAAAGAATAACACAGAGGAAATCACACGTAAATGTGTGTAAAGGCAATCCAGTCTCTGTGGTGGGAGAACTGGGTGCCCGTGAAGATAGCCAGAGGCTAGTCGCCAACTGGTGGGTGATGGGCAACACTGAAGATTTTCAGCAGGGGAGGAGCAACACGGTCAGATTTTCATATTGGAAAGGTCATCGGCAGCAGCACAGAGGGTACCACGACCAGAGGGGGCCGAGCTGACAGAAGAGGGATCAGGTGAGGGGAGAGAAGAGACACAGCCTTGTTATGTTGCCCCTACGAGGTTTCTGTAATATAATAGACCCCTGGGTTCATGTGGTTAACATGAAACTGGCTGAAGAACCCCGTGTTCAGAGTCTCGAGTGTTAGCAGGAACCAGCTGCGCTGAGCGCACACCCCACTCGGAGCACTGAAGTCCCCGGCCATCAGCCACCACCATGCTTTGTGATTGGAGGAAGGGAAAATTGATGAAGAATGTCACGATCATCAACAGAGACTAATGGGGGACAATATCTGCTTGCCAAGCCCCCTTTCCCTCACTTATAATTTAAATAACATGCTATATAAAATCATAAGCGGCAGGCATTAATATTAAATAGTACTAAAAACCCGAGAGCATTTAAAAGAATAGAAAAAAATATCCCTGTGCACTCGCTGGGAATCAGCTATACCCATGTGAAATGTTGGGCATCTCCACCAGGAGAAAGAAAAAAGAAATCCCCCAAACCTGACAAAGTATCTGCAGATGTATTTTGCATTCCATTCCCCATTCTGATGGAAACAGCATCTCTGGGCAGTGGTCCCCCGAGACCCCTCAAAGGCATGTGTTATGTGGAAATGCACGGTCACTCAGTTCTTGCCACAAGCAGCATGCAGGCTGGGGAATTAAGGGTTTTGTTTTGGCAAGGAGAGCTCCTTCAGAAAGAATTTCAGCAAAGCTTAAATTAGGTAAAATCATGTTATTTATAAGCAGAACAATTCCTCTTACAGGGATCACAAATCAAGGGGTTCCTTTATGGTACGTGATCCAAACTGCCCGACACCTATCGACTACTCGAGGGGAATAAGAATGGGGTGTGATGGGAGGTGGGGAGAAAGGAGAGGTGCCTTGTTTGCTAGAGGACAAACTGTGTAAATAAGAGACTGCTCCAGGGGCAGAAGCTGGTGTTCCCCTGGCCAGAGCAGAACCCGAGGATTCTGGGAGGCAGGAGAACATGTGGGAAATTCAGGATTAGAGAGCCCTGGAGTCAGCCCCAGAAGCCTGCTGTAAATTTTGTCTCATCTCAATGTATATAAATATTATTAGTGTTTAGGACTATTAAGGGATTTCTCGAAAAGCCCCGGGCAGTATGTCTTGCCAGCAGATGGATGGCTTCTCCATACAAACGCCAGAACTTAAAATTTAGTACAGTTACCAAATTTCCAATTACAGAGCTATGGGAGAAAGGAAGGGGACCTCTTTCCTGGCTTCAGTGAAGAAGGAGCACACCTAATGTGATTAAAGGCATTTCTGCTTTTCAAAATAAAAGAAAAATGGAAGCTGCTATAAACTACAAATATACAGGGGGAAAAGCAAATTTATTTTGCCCACGAGATCCTTCTACTCATTGGAATTCTTAGAATGACCAACAATAAAAACCAAAGCCGATCTAAATTGTTGGAAAAGCTAATGGCATGTCCCACGTCTACCACTAAAAGGATTGATTTGGGGGTCACAGTCACATAAAAATGAGGCGCTGCATATAAAAGCTCATTCTCTTCATTTCTGGGGGATAGGAAATAAGTCACACATCAGCCTTACTCCCTCCCCCTCCCTAGTGTCCTTATATTCACTAACTTCTTTCTAAGTTTTTTTTTAAACATTTATTTTTATTCTTGCCAGGGAGTTCCTTAACAATCTTTACTCAAGAGCAACCATTTTTAAAAGCATATGATTATAAAGTGTTCCGTTGGAAGAGAAGGTGGAGAACTCAGCCTCTTCTCGAGGAACAAAAAATGGAAAGGGGGCCACTTGAGTCACAATTTTATCCCAACTAATTTCTAAAGAACAGAAGTAAGTTCATGGACGTTTGAATGAGGTC